TTTTGCAGATGCTTAAAAGAAATTTCCAGACCCTGACTACAACCAGAAAAAAAGACCTGCTCTAGAGAGACAGTTGCCAGACCAGAGCCATGACAAAGCACTGCTGTTCATCCTCACAGTATATTCAACTCGATGAACGGCGATGTGCATGAAGAGAACAAATTCTAACCCAGCGTGAAGGTCTAGTCTACCAGCATCTTTAAGGAGCCTGACTCTTCTTCCTGCCTCTTCCAGGAAGGACAGTTCAGAGTTCTGAACTTAAGCAAGGAGAACCAGGAATTCCTCTGGAACCACAACATCCAGAATTATAGAAGTGCTAGTAGTTTCTCATGCCCTCCTAGCCATGTTTTCCAGAGGTTACAACATAAATGAGAGTTCCATACGTTATTTGCCAGTTATCAAGAGTCATGATGACCACTCTCCAAAAAAAAGTAACATTTTCAGTGGAGGGAACAGTTTCTAATTTATGTAGGTAGTCAGGAAAAAACCCTGGCCTTTTCTGTTCTCCAAGTGTTGACACCTTACATCCCAGAAGGAAAGAGGTAGAAGACGCTTTGCTTATTAGTAGCCTTAACCCTCTATGGTCTTTTTTAACTGAATTTCCTTTATTTCTTTAAGAATGGCATGCTGTGACTGCAATAAATCTCTGCAACAGATCTCTGAAGAGAATTTCTGAAGGGAATATGAGGTTTTGTTGTTTAATGCTTCAGCTTCAAGAATTCTGTGACACATTTCTGATAACCATTACTGCACTTGCTTAAAACATTGACAAAAAATACCTGGTTCCCATATCTCCTGCAACTTTCTCCTCAGATATCTCTGATCTTTAGACTAAGCACAAAATGCTATGTATGAATGCAGATATTGCAAGTGATTTTAGAAATACTTGAAAAGAGTCACCAGCATCATGCAACAACATACCCAGATAATCATCTTCCGTGCCTCTTCAGCACTTCTCAGATAGATCTCCTGTCATCACTTCATAAAGTAAAGCAACACACAGTCCCTCAGGGTATTACACAATTCTTGAACTCTAAACAAACTGGTGAGGTCCCCTTGTGTGGTTATGTGAACCTTCTGACGCTCCAGATGAGGAAGAAGGTATTCATCCAGCAGACTGCCTCCTGGCCTTTTTTCCCCTACATGTATCCAACAGCTTGCCATGAGGTATACTGCCTCCCTCTCCACGGTTCTAACCACAACAAACTCCAAAAGCCATTCAACTAACATGCAGACACGAGAGGTAAGCACTGTAGACATTTTTTTCCCCATGGAGAGGGAAGCAGAAGTACAGGGAGATCAAAGGCTACATATTGCAGTCAATGACATTTTGCTCCTAAATCTTTCTTGCACTCTAAAAAATCTCCCACATCAGGATTAGTTAAACCATCACAGTTTAACTAAAAAAGGAAAAAAAAAAAAAAGAAATCTCTCCTGGATTTAAGGTCACTGTCTTACAGGGCTAATACTTCTCTCCCTCTCCATTCATGCTTCAAGGCTGTTATCATAGGCAGCTATTAGCTAACCCAGTGACAACACTTGTCTCAAGACCTTTGTAGAACAGAGGATGCAGAAATAACTCATAAAGCAGACTGGGCCTCATTTCTCCAAAAGCAGAATAATCATATACATAAAAGCACTGGCTATCTGAAGAAACGTAGATTCTAGTCTCAATTTTGCTAGAAGTGACCTTTGGGACTCCCTTCACCTCACCATAAAAAACCAGGGAGCAGCTGAAAGTCTTAATGCTGGTGTTTGCATTGTGGTAGCAGTGAAATCACCGGGCATCTGCTGCATAATGGCACAGACAGGGAAAAAGCGAGCAAAAAGCAAGACGTGTGCAGTCCAGGTTCTGGATTTCCCTCTAGTGGTCAGCTTCCAGCAAGCCGAGAACCTGTTACTGCTAAAATGTTCCTATTCTCTGCTTTATGGATCTCCATAATGGTTCAGAAATTACTAGCCGAGACTGCTCCAAATAAGCAGCATCTTCACTGATTGCCATGACAGCCTTTTCAGTTGGTGCAAGAAGGTAATGGAACACTAACCCCATTCTTCCAAAAAATGGCTTGTTTTTAATATTTTAACGTTCACATATATTTCCTCCAATATCAGCCTCGTATTTCAAAGAGCTATTGAGCCAAACATGTTAATATGGCGTCGATCAGTAATTTCTTCCCCATCTGTATAAATGAGTTCAATATTTAAGAAATTTACAAAAGAGGCTTTCTATCAGAAACTTCAAACTTACTTTGCTTAGACTTAATTTCTCAAACTTACTTCAGCCTCACACTGGATCCATCTATACAAAACAACAGCCCCACACTGGTTATATCCACACAAAGCTGAGTCAGGCATACAGAATTACGAGAGGATGCAAAACATATTTATCTACAGAAAACACAATGCAACTTTGAACACAGAATGAAACTACCACCTCAACAACCCAAGACACACTAGAAAACATGAATTTTGAATTAGGTTGGGGATAATAGCTTCAACTAGCGCAGAAGAGGAAAAGCAAGAGACGTGCCACAAAGCCGGGCAGCTCCAGAGGACTGGCCCAAAACAAGGATGATGTGGTACACAGATGCTTTCTTACCAATAGCCAAGCGAGTTGGTTTCTTCCTTGGGGGGTCCCCAGCACTGGAGTTGGTGTCTTCTTCCTTCTATTTTGTTGAGAAGAAAGAGAGAAATAGAATTAGGGGGACAGGCAAGTTGTGGCAAGCCTTAAGGATTAAAATTAAGCTGTTGTGAAAACAGGAAGAGGCCAGGCAGAAATAGTGTGGGCAATCCATACAAAAAAATCAGCATAAGCAAAGCTGAAGAGCTGGTGTACTGTATGCAAAACATCAGTTATATTTGAGGAGAGAAAACTCTGTATCTGAGACATATTCCAGCTCTCAATTTCAGAAGAAGTTTGATTGTATATATTTTTATTTTTTACCAGTTTATGTGTTCTTTTGAGGTGCAGGTAGACCCGCTGCCCTGTTTTCTGATAGTGCTTTTCCACATATTGCTTCCCAAATCCCAGGAACGTGTTCATGCAGATATACAAGCCGCCATCTGACTCCTGGACAGAAGGAGAGATAAAAACTGAAGTGAGGTGGTAAAGAATGCCATTCCACCTGCTAGGATAGGCACAGACTTACCTCTGGGAACACTATTCATTAGATCATGTCTACAGCTCATTCCTACATACTACCCACTTCGTAGCTAGTCAGAAATAAGATGGTAAGCCACAGCCTGGCTGTCCCAGAAGAACAAGTACTCCCGTCAAGATGATGTATTTGAAAACCTACGTGCCTGTTCATTTATGGCAGGATGCTACTGAATCAGTAAGGCCTGAGATTCCTCAGCAGCTTATCTCACAAAAGGTCCTCAGCACGCACAGTTTACATGTTCAGAGCATGGTACAATCATTAGCAACAAAACCACGCCACCCTGACTGAAAGCGTAATTCCCAGTGCCAAACTACAACGTGAGGAAGGTTAACAGACCACTGTTTATTCCTGCTGCTGCATTCAAAAGCTTGTGACTAGCTCCAAGATGGATACAGAATGAGCCCTCCCCAGCCCACAAGCACCTGGAAAACACCGCACTCATTCAGCAGAGACACCCTTTTAAAATCAGGGGCGAGGGACCCAAAGGCAGAGGCTGGAAAAGAGGGACACCACTAAGAAGCTCTCGGCCTGCTTCCTAACATTAAGCAGCTGAGACAGAGTCAGAGCAGGGAGTGCATGGACAGGCAACACCATGAGGCTCGGGGAAGGAAAGAGGGCTCGGCTACCGTGTACTACTTCCTTGAAGGACCCGTATCTTCCAGCCGTAGCCCATTTCTTCTGGTGGGCTGGGGCAGAGCCTGGACGGGCGCCTGAGGAAGAGGCCAAGGGGGGGACCTCACCCTCCCGCCCTCTGGGCCTCCCCAGGTCCGCCTAGGCCAGGCCGGGGGGTAGGGAGGGAGGAGCAGGGATGCCGGCGGGGTGGAGACGGTCGGGGAAGGGACCACTGCCATCTTAATCACACAGCACCGATTCATCCCCGCCTGCCGGGCCACGCCACGCGGTGCGGCCGGAGAGGCAGCTCAGACCCGGGCAGGGCGGGAACCCCGGCCGGGGGGCGCCCCGGCCCCCCGCCGGACTACAAGTCCCGGCAAGCCCGACGGCAGCGGCTGGGGTGGGGGGAAGGGGGTCGGGGGACACGGACTCTCCAGGCGTGCAGGGCCGGGCCGGGCCGCCGCCGAACGAGGAGAGCGAGCTGCCCACGCCCGCTCCAGCCCGTGAACTACAGCCCCCAGCGCGCCGCGGCAGGGAGGGGCGCGTCGCGGGGCACGCCGGGCGCTGTAGTCCCTGAGGGCCCGGTGCTCCGCCCGGCCGCGGGCCGCTCCTGCCGCCGGGGAACAACAACTCCCATCGCTCCGCGCGGGCGGCGCCCCGACGGGCAAGTGGGCTGGGAGCGGGCCGAAGCGGGGGGCAGCCCGGCGAGTCGGGCGGGCCGGCCGCGGGGCGTTCTTACCGGCGTGTCAAAGGAAAAGGCGCACTCGTCCTTGTGGACCCGGTCGCCGGCCTTGGGCACCCGGATGGACGGCAACACCGAGAGAAGCGCCTCGCTCAGCTCCGCCATGACAGCGGCTCACTGCAGCACCGCCCACAACCCCACCCTAACCAATCCGAGCCCAGCGTGGTCAGGCGGGCTCTGGCCAATCCCGCGCCGCTCGGGCGTGCCAGCAACGAGGCTGAGGGCCGGACCCGCAGCACCTCCTGGCCGATTCGTCCAATCGCAGCCATCCTTCCGCCGTCAGGGGGGGCGGTGCCGGACTCCTCGACCAATAGCGACGTAGAGCGGGAAGGGGGCGGGGAACTCCCCGAGGATTGACAGCGGGCCGGCGGCAGGCCAGGCGGGACGTGCCGGGCGGGGGCTACGGAGCCGGTGGGCGGCACCCGCGAGGGATGGGCGGGGCGGATCGGGCCCCGCCTCCGCGCGGAGACCAATGGGACGGCGCCGCCGCCCGGCGCGCGGGAGATTTGAACCTCGGCGGCGGTTGGGGCCGGGGAGCGGGGCGGCGGTTCGGCGCTCTCCGCCATGGGGGTCTCTGGTAGCGCCCCGGCTACCCCTGCCGCTCTCCGCAACAAGCACCTGGCGCACGTCAGCGACCCCCGCTCCCCTAGCGCCGGCATTCTGCGCACCCCGATTGAGGTAGGCGCCCTCCCGCCACCACCCCTCTTGGCGGCCCCGGCCTGCCTCCTCCACGCCTGCCCTCTCCGCAGGTGGTGAGCTCCCCGGCCGGCAGCCCTCAGCCCGGCCCCGCCGAGCCGGCGGCGGGTACCTGCCAGGACCGGGACCCGCGCTCGCCCACGCCCGGCATCTCCCGCACGCCTATGAGAGCCGCATCGAGCGGTGAGTGAGGCCGCCCTGGGAGGGCGGGTGAGTGGGCTGCCCGGCGCGGCCCTGCCCAGCCGAGCGCCTCGCCCCGTCCTCCATCCTCCCCTCCTTCTCTGACAGACAGCGTGGACCTCTTGGTGAAGCGGCTCAGGGAGGCCTTCGGGGCTGGCGCCGCGCCCCGGGAACCGGCGCCGCCGGGACCGGCCTGCCCCGCCGAGGAGCCGGCAGCTGAGCAGCCGGCCTGGCGAAACTCCCCGCCCGCGGGCGGCCCGGAGGCGGCCGCCGCCTCGGGGGAAGGGTCGGAAAGGCCGCTGTCTCCCGACGCGGCCCCGGCTCGGCTAACCCGCGTTGCCGGGCCCGGCTTCTCCTCGGGTAAGTGCTCGGTGGCTGGAGTAACGCGTCGAGGGCTCCGGGCGCCCGCGGAGCTGCACTGACCGGGGCAGGAACCCATCAACCCCCTCTGGTGCGTGTGTCTTTGTCACCCGAAAAGCGGCTTTGTGCCCAGCGTGACAATCTTGACACAAATCTTCGCACGCTCAGGAGAGATATTGTATTTTATTCAGGCCCGTGTGCTTGGTAGATTTTCCACAAATCAAGCACGCCTAGAAGCAGGTTCAGGTGCTTCTTTTATACACAAAAATCACAGGTTAGTGCTTTTACAAACATGCCTATTAGATACAGATTGGTCAATAATTATAATACAGATTACATAAGGCATTTGATACTACACATGTGCAGGGGAAGGGTCTTTAACTTGGGCAGGTGTTGCTCTGACCTGGGGGTGTGTTTTTTAGTATTACAATTAAAGTAGTTCACTGCAGGACACTTTAAAAATTAGTTTCATTGCCAAATTACTTAAGTGAATAGTTACCTTGCCAGGTTGTCAATTTGATGTATGCTAACTGTTGTCTATAACCACCTGCAAGTACAGAGTGTACTTCTATCAGTTATTAGCTACGGCCGCTTACAAGTGTGAAGTGTACTACATCACCTTCTTCAGGCTTGCTTGCTTACAGAGACCTTGTCCGTTCCCTCAAGTTTAGCTGTCTCGTACTGCCTCAGATATCCTGGCCTTGGGACTGTGCAGTTGGCAGACAGGAGAACCCTTTGGGAACTGTTTTTCTATCAAACTGATTTCTGTCAGGAGTTGAAAAGTTACGTTTTCAGTTGGTAGTCAAAATCAAGAGGTAAATGTCAGCCCTTCTACTCTTAGACAGGCTTGTGGTTGTGGTGGCCTGTTTATCAGGACCTTGGAGTTTTTCCTTGGGAAGAGTGTGGGAGTAAGGGCGGGAAGCACATCTAACTGCTGTGGCTGAGTGGCATTGAGAGTCTTTAATATTGGCTGTGCTTTGGGAAACTCTGTGCTGAGCATCCCTCCTACAAGGAGAGGCTGAGAGCTGGGACTGTTTAGCCTGGAGAAGAGAAGGCTCAAGGCAATCTTATTAATATGTATAAAACCTGAAGGGAAGGTATAAAGGAAGAGAGATCAGGCTTTTTTCAGTGATGGGACCAGAGGCAAGGGACACAAACTGGAACACAGGAGGCTCCATCTGAACATCAGGAAACACTTTTTTCACTGTGAGGATGACCAAGCACAGTCGCAGGTTGCCCGGAGAGGTTATGGAGCCTCTGTTTTTGAAGATATTTAAAAGCTGTCTGGACATGATCCTGGGCAACTGGCTCTAGGTAGAGCAGGGGGGTTGGAGCAGAGGTCCCTTCCCAACCTCAACCTTTCTGTGATCCCTTACCTAGAAGTCCTTGGTTAACAGTCTTTGCTGTGCAGGCATACAAGCTAGATCATAAAGGCCAGGAGGCATTTAAAATCTAGGACCCTGTAGCCTTGTCATGATGCACTGACATGTTTCCTTCTGACACTAGGGAGCAAGCCTGTAAGGCGCAAGACCAACAACAAAATCATGACAACATCTGGTGGAAGTGGTCGCTCTCCCCTCAGCATCCTACAGGACGACAATTCCCCCAGTGCTCCTGCCCCTCGCCAGGTAAAGCTTAATAAGTTATACTGTGGGAGGGAGAATGGGCTGAAAAAACCCCATATCCTTCAATTTCTGTATTTTGTAGGGTCCCAGTTTGGAACTGTGGGGTCCTAGGCCTGTAGAGCCTGGTGATTTCCTAAGGATTTTTCTGTGGGTCAATCTTGTCTCTAGATGCCTCCAGGTCTTGTTCAATGTCTGTATCTTTGGCCTTACCATGACATTGCCCATTTCAGCGCATCCTTTCTCTTTAGGCTGTAGAAAGAAGTCCATCACTCTTCGATATTGTTACAAGAGAGCCAAAGCTGAATGGCCTGAAAATGGGCTATGTGTTCCACTGAGAATTAACTCACCCCCAGTTAACTTGTGTTTTACACTGTATGATTTTTTTTTTTTTTTTTTTTAATTTCTCTAGGGTAAGAGGCATGTATTGGGAGAGAATCTTGGGGAAAAGAAGGAAGTGACAGTGGATCTGAGCAGGAGCTTCAAATCTGGGAACTGTTCTTGGAGTGACTTGAACAAAGAGAACCAACAGCGTCCTTATGTGGAAAACTAGAGGTTTCCTTTTCCAGGATCTTATTGCAATTTGCTTCTATGCTTTGAGAGTCTTCTGGGGGTGAGAAATTCTGCAATAGACTGAAACTCCAGACTTGTGGTCACTCTTTTCACCTATCCCTGTTGGGGAAAGAGCGTTATCTTTCTCCCCTGTTTTTGCATGTCTTACAGTACAGACTCTGGCTCTTCTATTGTATATCAGCTGTATTGACTTACTGTAGAGTTCTTATCTGTGGCAAATAAATTTGTATTAAACTTTTGCTGACTGTATCTATGCCCTGATAGGACAGTAGGGGTCTCCTGCTTGCCCATTGACCTTAGGGGCAAGGATTCCAGAGCAAATAGTTCACCTTTCAGTTAGCCTAAAAACTCATCTCTGTCCCCTGCTGGTAACATGCCACTGCAGAGGTGTGCTGAGAAGGGTCTGACTATGAACCTATGTACTACTGAGTGGGCTGGGAAGCTGCAACTCTGCAGGCGACTGATGTATCTGGTGTCACTTCTGGAGTTCTGTGTCTACACTGCCCTAAAACTAATGTATACAAAGGTCTGTAGCCTATTGCAAGGGTCTGGAATGAGGGTGAGATCCAAAATAGGATGAGATACTATCGTGCTTTATCTTCTATTGATAAGTTGCTGCAACTGTTGACCATCAAGTCTTCCTAACAGAGCCTTGGGACCCCAGGATATCACTATGAGTCAAAAAGTGGAATAGGGGCTGACTATAATGGCCGTGTCTAGTAATTGAGCTCAAATCTCCAAGGTTTGCAAGGATGTATTTTCAGCTCTCCCAACTCTATGGCAGCAAGCCTTGAGACTAACAGCCTCTTCTCACCTAAAACGTGGGTGAGGAACACCCTCCCCTGGGGACTGAGGTAGAACAAAGCCTGGGGATGAGATGTTCTCTGGATGGGGTCAACAAACAGTATTCATAGGAGAGTTATGTTTGCGGTAGCTCATTGCAATGCTGGAAAGAACACAGCCTGCAGTGCTTATGTGAGCTTTTTTTTATTTGCCTGGGCTATGAAGGTCTATAAAAGCTTGAAATCAGGGGCTGATGACTACTGGTTAGACAGGGTCACCACACAATGCAGGAGTGAGGCAAAAGGAGAAGAAACAGCAAGAAGCAGACAGTAAGTATAATATTCCCTGGTACTCTGGTAGGTCTGAGGGCTATTTGTCCCCCATTTATGCATAGATAAGACTTAGCTCAAGCCTTCCCCAATGGAAGATAAGCCCAATTTACACTAGCTTTTTTTGTTTGAGGTTGCATGGTAGAAATCTCAAACCCAGCATGTCTCTGAGGCTGTCTGCAGGGCTATAGGACAGCTGCACAGAACCTGTGTTCAATCAGGAACACAGCCTGGTCTGTGACAGGTGTTTGAGGGTCCTCCAAAGGATAGGTGTCAACCTGAGGAGAGGCGTTTGAAGGAGCTGTACTGTAACGTCCTGAGACATAATAAACTGTGTTTTGTAGGTCTTCAAGCCTGCACGAGGCTGGAAACTGCTGGACCTGTTTAGAGGTGGAGAGAAGGGCCAGTGTTTGCGCTCCTGCTATCCAGCTCCCTCTGCTCCTCCTCCCCGACCTCTCCTTTCACTCTGGGAGACCCCTACAAGCGACCTGTGTCTAGAGACAAGTGGGATTGGTGGGCAGGCATTTCTGCTGGGCTCAGCTGACGATGCTGTTCGCTTGGGCGTGGGCTGCGGGCCATGCTTCTGCTGCTCTTTCCCTCTCCGCTGCTCTCTTTCCCTTTCTGCTGCTGTCCTCAGTTCCAAATCTTGAGGAAGCTGTCCCAGGAGCCGGTGGCAACAGCCATGCCATCTGCTGTTACCCCCAGGCAGCTCACTCTGTTGTCATGGCCAGAAAGGATTCCTATGGGAGGAAAGGAGAGAGGTCAGGAAAAAAAAGTGGAGCCTGGGAGGGATGAAGGGGTTGACCAGGCTGAGGACACGCGTCGTAGGGTGTGTACCTACACCCCCGTGTATCGTGCTGTCTGTTCCCGCACAGCAGGTTACAGTCAGCATGTGGCTAATAAGAACAAACATGCAGAAGAACTTTTGTGTATGGCGTGCAACTGCCACCCACAGGACTGGCTAAAGAACGATGTTCGTGAGCAGGTCTGGCTAGCTGACTCCTCTTACAACTGCTTTCACCCTGGAGTGATGGTAGGACTAAAAGGATGGTGTCCTGGATAAGGCTGAGAAATACCAACGCCATTGGTGGGCTGCATTATAAATTTTCAGAGGCTGGGAGCCACAGCTGAAAGAAAAATGATACTTGGGTGTAGTCTGTGTACAAGCATCACAGAGTATTGAGAGATGTTGGATGGAAGCCCAGGTCCATGCTCAGCTTGGTGCTTGGCTACCAAGTGGCACTGTGAGTAGCTGCAACTGTCAAACTGCAGAGGCTAGGAGAACGTAGGAAATACTACAGATGTTTGTGAGCAGTTTTAGCTAGAAGGAACCTTTAATGTTCTTTCTCCCCTTGAAACAATGTTGTTTGATATTGTCCTTAACATTAAAAACTAGTTCTTCTATACAAGCAAGTTTTACTAGTGTGTCTGTTAAGTGTTGGTTTTGCTCGTGTTTGCATTAAATGATGTTCTTTTTGTTCTTTTTCTTCCCCTAAAGGGTCTGTCTTTTCCCCATGACTGTAACGGGTGAGTCATCCCCTCCCTGTCCTAATCTCAAGTGCCGAGCCTTTTACTTCATTTTCTCCTTCCCAGGGCTGGGAGAGAAGGGGTGAATGAATGGCTGTGTGGTGTTCTGTTGCTCTCTGGGCTCAAATCGTGACAACTAGTCATGGTGTGCTCCTTTAGTGCAAGGAAGCTTTGTTGGGTTTCAGTCAGGTGTCCCTTTTAGAAGAAATAAAGGCCTTTTCCTTGCCTTGGTAGGGACAGAAGACCTTGCAGGGAATGAAAGGGACCTCCAGGAGCCACTCACCCACACGCTCTGCTTTCAGAGAGTCCCAGATGTTGCAGTTGAAGTCGTCGTATCCGGCAAGCAAGAGGCGCCCGCTGCGGGAGAAGGCGACCGAAGTGATTCCACAGATGATGCTCTCATGAGAGTACACTACAAGCTCCTGGTCTGCCCGGAGGTCAAAGAGACGGCAGGTGGCATCGTCGGAGCCAGTGCAGATGGCTTCACCATTAGGGAAGAACTGAGGAGGGCACACACCAGATTTTAATCAGGTTACACCTTACAGATTTCCTTAACTCTTTGCTTCCCTGCTAACCATGAGGAAGCCACAGAAGTAGGAAACCCCAGTGGGACAAGATACTGGATCATAAAAGTTGAGTCTGCTGAAGGGGGAGACTGATGTTTCTCCTAAGACCTAGTTAAACCCCTTCCACCTCAAGAAAGCCAGCGACCTAGGGGCTAGAGCTATTGTAAGATGTTCCAGTGCTTGAGCAAGGATTATTGTCTCTAACTCCAGCTGTTAGTTTGGGGCTTGACTGGTGTCCACACATTATGCCCCAGATGGGGTCTGGCATGATTCGGAGCGATGAGAGCCTTCCTCTGTCTGATCACCATATCCCAACCTTCTCATACACACTCCTTTTCTGTGTCCTTGCTCTGAGGAGCAAAAAAAGAGCTTCTCAGGACCAGGTCTGGCAGAAAACCATATGGCTGGTAGAGTAGCCATGGGACAGGTGAGAAAAGCTGTACTAATTGAAATCAGTAGAGGGTGATTCAAGTAGCAGACATTGCAGGAAGCTGTTCAACTCACTCGGTTAGCCGCAAAGGATTAAACTGATATGTTTCTTGTCCTGCCACCTCTAGGACTCTGGTTTGAATCCTTGCCTCTGAGGCATATACTTGCCCCTAAATGTCTGTGCTGCCTCAGGTGAAGATTTCATCTTCAGGAGATCTCTCTCTGATTACCAAGTTCCCACCTCTGCTGTCTGGAGCTGACCAAGACCCTCAGCTGCGTTAAGTATTCCTGCTGCCTCACTTGTGTCTCGCACCAGGGCTCCTGGGGCGTACCTGAGCCATGGTTCCCAACAGCTGCTGTGAGCAAAGCTGCACCAGCACCTCTGTTAGGGTGCTGAGCTCCACAGATCACGGTGTGCAGGCTGAGTCCAAGCAGTGCTTTGAGTCAGACCTAGACGCTTTGGTGCCCTGATGCCTGGGAAGACCCAGCCTCCAAACTTCACTGAACTCAGGCCCTTCCTGCTTCATGCTGGACCATGGGGCCAAAATATCCCGAGACCCTTGCTCCTCACATGGCTGTGACAGCTTCTTTCACTGTTGTCCCAAGACCCTGTTTCAGAGCTGGTCCACCCTCCATTTTCCTTGCCTCCCCACCACTGTGCAGAGAGCATACATACGCAGATGGCGTTGATATCAGACTCGTGCCCTGAGAAGGTCTGACGGCAGGTGCCTTCCCGCACGTCCCACAGTTTGGCAGTAGCATCACAAGCCCCGGAGACGAAGAGTTTGAAATCTGGGGAGACAGCCAAGCTCATACAGTCTCCAGTGTGACCCAGGAACACAGTCTTCTGCTGCCCTGTCTCAATGTCCCAGAGCGCGCTGCAGGAGAGGAGAGAACTTCTCAGAGCCAGCCCAGGCAGAACAGATCTACAGCTGGGCTGAAGAGCTGTCCCACTCGCAAACAAAAGGAGGGAAGCCATGGACCTGGCTACAGCAAGGGAAAACAGGTGAGAGTATCACTGCAGTCAGCTGTATACAACAAGAGATATCTTCACAGCTGTTGCTGGTCATACCTTTGCCAAAGCAGAGTTATATGAAGGCTGGGGGGGTGTGTGAGGTTTGACGGTATTCCCATAACTGCAACAGCTGAAGGGAATACTGAGAGGAGGTAAGAGGGACCCACGGGCAAACAGCTGAAAAACGTGCTGTATCCACACTCATAGGGTGCATGGGCCGTGTTCACTGGGATCCCATATTACAGCCAGGCAAACAAGCCCCCTTGTAACCTTGATCTCTGAGGGAAATGCCACATCCTGACTCATCCTTGGTCAAGAGGTTCTTCCAAAGCAGATGCTGGGATGCAGTGGGGGTGAATAAAGCCTTGGCACTGCTCGGAGTTGCAGCACAGCAAGACCTGAGAGTGAGGAACCGAAGAATCTGGACACCGGCTTTGCAGGTGTCCCTTGCACAGTGGTCAAGACCTGTGAAGTGGAGCATGTACGTGGGCTCCACATAAATTTATGATGCTTTCTGTCCTGGGATAAGTGACACTGTGCTTTGTGAGAGCTGACAACACGGTCCCTACTGCTTCACCAACAGACCTGCATCTTGACCTGACTTCAAATGGGAAAAGAAGCACTCGTTTTGCCAAGGGAGAAAGAATGGATGTGGCTTCTTAAGGTGCTCTGTGTGGCCTCCCTGCGCAGGAGCAATTCATCTTTAGCTAGTGGACTGCTGCAGAGCACTTGCTGATGTGTGCTGTGCCTCTAAGAGCCAGCGGTCACGTCGCTAGGATGCAGAAGTTAACACTCACCATGTGGTATCTCCAGAGCTCGTCACAATATTATTGTCATCAAGAAATCGGCAGCAGGAGAGGTAACCTGGGAAGTAGGAACAAGCAAATATGAGAAACGGGTCAGGGCTGAAAGTGTTGCAGGTTGCAGGCAGGCAGCACACACACCTGTATGGGCTGAGAGCTCCCTGCTCACTTTGACGTTGCCTTCACGAGTCTTGAGGCTGTAGATGGAGCACATGTTGTCAAGGCCCCCGCAGGCCACAAAATTGCCCGAGGGGGCATAGGCACAGGTCATGACCCAGGAAGAACGCAAAGGGATGGCGTGAACCTGGGAGGACAAGAAACCATGTTGACAGTCTGGAAGCAGAAAGAGCAGGGCAAGGGCACTAGCTCCGAGGGGACCCACTCCAGCACCCCAGTTCGCTGCAGCTGTCTGAGTCCTACCTTGTTAGTTGTGTACGTGTCCCACACAATCAGTTTCCCATCTTGTGAGGCACTGACCAGAAGTCTGTGAGAGAGGAACAAGACCACGTTAGTAGCTCTCTTCACACCAGAGCCTTCTTGCCCTTCACACCCACGTGCTGTCCTGCAGCCAGCAGGTCAGCAGCATCTCTCTCACTTGGAGTCCGTGGACCAGTGCATGGCGTAGATCTTGGCCAGGTGCCCACGCAGGGTCCTTCGGGTCCGCATCTGGATGCGGCCAACAACCTCCACTCCAGACACAATCTGAGGAAAGGGTGGGGGGAGAAAGAGAACTAAGCTTGGACTAGCAGTTTTCCTGCTCCCCGCATCTCTGCCTCCTACCTCGACTTCCCAACTGGAGAGAGTCCCCCTTAGAGCATATTCACACATATTCACCTGTCCAGCCAGCTCTGTCCCTTACCTGAGCAAGCGTTGTGTCTGCACAGGCTTTCCGGGAATCCTGGAGAAGAGACAAGAGCAGATGAAAGAGAAAAAAGAGCTGTGTGATGAGGGGAAGGGCAAGTGAAATTCACAGGCTAGAATTAAGAACTGTGGCTTTGCTGTGTTCGGATTATGGCCAGCCCAGGGGGATCCTGGTCTGTGACTAAGGCACCTCGGCAGCAGTCAAACATCAGGAAGGTGAGCCAAAACTGCTCAACATCAAGTTCCCCGTGCTACGCCCCTTCCACTGATCCTCCCACCTGGCAGAACACCAGCTGCCTCCCAGACAGAGGAGGTCCTGGGAACACACTACATTCTTTGGCACTCTGCAGACACAGTGCTGGTGGCTACTTCCTTCTCACTGTTGTAGTTCTCTCCCTTCTCCTCCCCTTCTTCCCTCCACCATGCGATGAAGATCTCCGTTAGCACTTAAAGGGCTGTGCACAACTGCAGAGGGCTCCGAGGATGTAGATGGAGAAAGCTCAACCCTCAGTTGTGGTTGAGGAGGAGAACTTGGACATGGTGGGGGTGGGTAGGCACTCTCTCAGCAGTTTCATGACTGTAGCCAGCATTACCGCAATCTGCTTCTTCAGCTGCTCAGCCTCCTGCTTCATCTGTTCCATTTCCCCCATCTTTCTGACCCAGTGGCGGCTCCTCCACGTGGGGCAGTCCTGATTCTGGGGAGACAAACCAGAGGAGAGAGATATGAGGTAGAAAGGACACTAATATGACCGCTCAGTTAGGCAAATGTAGGGATCTCTGATAAAGGCTTAGTAACCATTTCTTGGCCGAAGGCTTGGTAATGTGCTGTATCTGGTCTAAGCCCTTAGCATTTGGGAAGGTGGTCCTGTGCCTGATTAAAGGTCCATTTAGTCTTGCATCTTGCTTACAGGTACACTGAGGAGCTGAAGACCTCCAGAGCCTCTTACTGAGGTTCTGGACACACTTGTCCCCTCACCTCTTTATTTTTAACCCCTCTATTCCTAGCCCTACCAAATCCTAGGTCCTCTTCATCAGCTTCTCCCTGTCCATGGCCAAGCTGTCCATCTCAGCTCCAGGAGGAAGAAATTCAATGATGGGATTCCAGTGACTATTTCCTATTGTTTGTCCTAGACAGAGCAGCACCAGGCAGTGTCCAGCAGCTCTTTGACCGTCAAGAAAATCTGCGGGCTGTTGAAGTGCTCTATCAGGGTTCCCTTCTAGTTTCCCACTAAAAAAAAAAAAAAAAAAAAAAAAAAGTGGATGCCTAGGGAAGGATCTAAGAATAACATAAGCAGACTTTGCTAGCCCCAGCTTTTCACTGATGCCCAAAGCTAGAGGCAGCATTACTGTATCCAAGACCTTGACGGAATTTTCTTCTATGCCTTTGTCCACACAGTTTTTGTGCCCATGTCAAAGTTTAGCATCCTCAGCACCCCATGGTGATGATTTCCACAGTTTAGTGGCAGGCTCCACAAAGAAGTTCTTGGTTCTGTTACTCCCCAATGGCACTAGTTCCACTTGGTGGTCTCTAGCTTTTGAGTTGGAAGAATCAACAAATAACTGGTCTCTATTCACCTCAGCATCACTCAGTATTTTATAGGTCTTTGTCATGCACCTCTTCCAGACTGCAGAGCACACTTAAGTCATTCCTCCTCCGTAAGCCATAGCATCCTATTACCTCTGTTGTTCTCTAAGCCCTTTTCAGTTCTTTACAGAATCTAGATGATATGCTTTTGCAGCGAGAGAGCAGTGAATCAGAACTGTAATCCATATTCAAGATAGAGGTGCACCATATGATGTTACGGCATCTGTTTTGTTGTCTTTTTCTTGTTACATGCACTTAAAACTTCACCAGTGACTCTAGCATCTCCCACTCTTATAGACAAATCTCGTCTTTAATTGTTTCAATCTTTCTCCTGGGTAGGTGTGAATGTCCAGATGTGCTCCAGTTGTTCATCATGAGAACAAACGCTTTGCTCCAAGGCCAAGAAATGCTCCAGCGGCATCTGCAGACTTTCTCCTAGTCCCTGGGGGGTCACATCACCTCCATCTCCCCCTGGCCTGTTGCCTGAAGGCCTCATTTCTTCCAGCCAGTGGGCCTTTGGGTCCTTCCATGCCAGGCTGTTCTCCTGCTGGGGGCGAGCGCATGCAGATACACCCCCAAGTCCCACCTTTGCTCTCTGCTTCATAGACCTCTTCAAGTTTCCCTCCAGAATCCCTTCCCCTGAACATCTCCACAGCTTTCCTTTGAGCCTCCGGGCGGACTGAGTTTCTGCTTGGTCAATGACTCCTGTGGCACGGCTCTGAGTGTAGGAAAAACAGGGAGATGCGGGTTTCCCCTAGCTCCTGGCAGGCATGAGCTTATCCCAGAGGGAGGCTATTTCAGGCTATACTTTGCAGAAAAAGACTTGCACCTGCTGCTTACAAGCCTGAATGGAGCCACAGTGCAGCTGCCTCTTCCCTGCTCCCTGCCTGTGCACTAGGTGTGGCTGCTGCCCCCAGCCCATGGTGAGGGAGCAGGAGAGGAGCCCAGGACTGCACTGTCAGAGCACACGCAGCAGTGGCCTGGGGCTGCCAGCTGAAGGATGGGGACAGATCAGCACCTGAGCTGAGCCCTTTTCACTGTTGTTTTGTTTTGTTTTGTTTTCTCCATATCTCATTTTGACAGATGAGGGGGTTCCTCCCAGCAAGGATGCATAGCCGCACCTGGTTGAGCGATGCTGGCCACAAAAGCCCACCTGCGTGTACTTCTTTGGGGATGGCTCTGCCATCTCTCAGCTAACTGACAGACTGGGGAGATGCTGAGGAAGGCCTCGAAGCCTTTGGTAGGCAGCTGCACATCCTCTTTATCTTGTGGCATTTGCCCCTCAGCTTTGGTGTACAGCCAAGCTGCAGAGACTGCATCTGTCCCTGGCTGCTGCCTACCAGCACATTAAGTGGCAAATCTGAACTTCCAGCCACCCTGTGGAGACCAGTCCTACCATTGTGGGTCCACATCTTCCCCTTTCTCAGTTTTTTTTTAGGACTGATCCTACCTTCCCTCTGTCAACCCTGAGCTTTGGATTGCCTTTTCCTGCTGGGACACCTCTTCCCTCTGACTTTCTTTCCAGTCTGCTTGGTCTCCAAGCTCTCTGTGCTGTTCCTTCACATGCCTTTGGCCATCCGAGATCATCGCTCAGCCACCTGCCCTAATCTGTCTTTGTGGACTTTGGTTTTGTCCAGCCAGACCTGCATGGGGATGGGAGTCGTCTTCTCTCTTCCTTCCAATTTCTTTCCCAGGTGAAGCTGGCTGCACATGTCATCTTCATTACCCATCGGATCCCCAGTCTTTCTTGCATCTCTCCTGCTTTTTTACCATTCTCTTCACTTCTCTGGGTGTTTCTTTCTCAACTCTGGCACTTGCATGGGAGCGTCGGTTCACAGGTGCCTGTTCTGTGAGGTTGCACAACCAGATGAGGGGCTTTCAGAGCTGGGCAGCAGATCAAAGGGTGGGGGCATGATGTTGAGGATGGATAAAAAGGGCTGAATATAGAGAAGGTGCCAGGTTCAGGACTCCATCCAAACCCTTAAATCCCTCTGAAGGAACGCTCTACATTAAGCTGGGAATTGTTCTCAGCCTCAGAACGACAAGGAGCCACAGATGAGCGATAATAACAGCTCCAGCTTTGCCTCTTGCCTCCACCTGTCACATCTTAGTGCAATTTGTGGGGAGTGAGTTACCTGGTCCCCAGTGGAGTGCAACTGCCTCCCAGGAGAACCATGGCAGGTGTGCAAAGGAGTGGTTCATCATGGTCACATAAATTTAGGACAGGAAATGGGGGAAGAACAGAAGAAAACGGAGTGGAGTTTGGAGTCCGGCCAAGGCACATTCTCGCTGTGACCAGGGGGACCTTAGGGATGCGCGTTTCTTGTGAATCCATGGGTCAGCTCACAGTTACTCATGGTAGCTGCCCAGCCTGGTTTTAAAGGGAAAGGCTTTTAAATGGTGCACGCTCAGGGCTTTCTGGAACTAAGGGCTCTTTCAGGTGGGTCCTAAGCAGCAGAGGAAACCAAGTCCTTCGGTACCTTTGAAAAAGCAGTTCACCACCACTGCCCCGTCATTGCGAAGAGCTACTGACAGGAGCACCTTGGCACTAGCACTGGTCCAGAGTTGTACCTCCTACTAGCATCACTGAGGAGCATGGCACAGCCGAGCAGAGCCTGGATTTAGTTCATGTGAGGCCCCTTCTGAGCTCTGTCATGGCTGTGGTCAACCAGTTCACAGTTTTTGGCTTTTGAACCCACCCTTCATTTCTTCTGCTTGCCAACACGACAGTTCTTTCCCCTCCTGCCTTTTTTTGGCAAAATTGCTGGAGGCACCTCCTCTAGCACTCCTGTCTGTGGGTAACCAGACCCATCCTGAGCCCTTGGATGTCTGCTTGTAGCAGACCACATGTGTCTACTGTCATGCAAGGCTGAGTGGGGTCTGGAATCATCTGCCTTCTGCCGCCACGCCATGACTTTTCTGGGCAGTAGCTATGTCCCCTGAGCCATGCCATGGTGGGGGCACCCAGCTTGCACCCCAGGAGCCATCCTTCCTACCAAACCACTTGCGTCACTCCCTTGTGGAGATCGGCGTGCAAGCGATGGGTGGGAAGAAAGGGGAGGTGAACCTCCTTATTTCCTATCCTTCAAGCAGCTTCCCCCACACTGTGGGGGGGAAGTGGTCCCTCTGCGGGATGCTGGGAGAGGGCTGTAAACAGAAAAAGGAAAGTTGCAGGAGGGAGGACTGAGTATTAATAGGCAGCATCCCCGGGTCTCTGTGTAATCCCCGGCTGGCCTTGCACACTTGCCCTGGTGACCCCGGGCTCCTTGCACAGCTGGATACGGAGATGATCCCCCTCTCCTGTGTTGGAGATCAAAGGCCACGATAAGATTATCCTGCTCTTTGCTTTTTTGAGGGCTCCTTCTCCATCCAGAAAATCAGCTAGGTGCCAAGAGGTGTGCACAAGGTCACAGCAGGAGTGCAGGGCTATGTACAGGTAGTGGGTGCCAGGTCCCTGACACTCCCCTCAGGGGAGGCTTTACCCTCCTGTTCCAGTCTGGAAACTGGTGAGATTTACTTGCCGAGGTGAGAACAGTCAAACCCATCCCAGCCCAAAGCCCCTCATCACCGTAAAGACATCTCAGCGCTCACCCCAATCCCTCCCGCACCACGATACTCCCTCCCACATCCTCTGATGGGCTCAGTCCTTGTACAAAGACTCCCCACACCAAGAAACTCAGGGTCTCAAGCGCCAGGCTCACCAAGGTGACCTCAGGCATCACAAGAAGGCAGCAGCATCCTTACCGTGAGCTGTAGAGCGAGGTGGGTTGTAGTCCACCCCTGGATGGGACCCTCACGGCCTGCCTCCCCTGCTGAGAATGATGTCCCACCGGCCAGAAGCCCCTTGTCCCTGGGTGGTCTCCAGTCAGTCCTGCCTGTCCACCCAGCGAGTCCCTTACTCTCTGCTCCTCAGCCTCCCCCAGGACTGATCTCCCCGTGGGGAGCTGGAAGGCTGCGGATGGGAGGGGCTGGGGGAGGGCTGATTCCAGGAGCAGCATCAGGCAAATTAAATCAGACACCAGAGACTTGGGGAAATCGGATTGGGATATAATGCAAAGCAGGTGGACAGGGAGGGGTGAAAAGAGAGTAGCATGCTGCTCCTGGAGGGAAAGAAACCATCACAGGTGGATTTGACTTCCTCCGTTTATATCAGCAACAAACTAATAAAGTGAAGATTAGCCCAGACAGGCTAGGATTATCAGCCACTGAGGCAGAAATTCCCATTTTCCTGGGGGAGCGTGCCTCTTGTGTCCTGGGACAGGGCAGGAAGAAGGATGGTGCCACCCTGGCAAGGGAAAACCAATGGCAAGGCCAGGGTCACACCTCTCCAGGCAGCAAACTGGATTCTGCATGGGGAAAACCGAACTGGGCACGGGGGCCAGGGGTGGCAAAAGATTTGGTGGCGTGCCTTTTGGCAGCCACATTAGGGGGATGCTGTGAGGGGATTATCTTGGCCTCAATCTCTTTTAATCCCTCCTGCGGCTTTGGCCCAAGCCTGAGATAAATACCTTTTAACGGATCTCATCTGACGTCAGGAGGCCATCAGTCTAATCACACCAGCCACCTTTGGACAAAGCAAGCCAGAGATGTGGCCACTGGCCCCTCACCCCCCAAACACGTCCTTGTCAATAGGACCATTCAGTGCCCCCACATAAATCATCAGGATGGACGTGCAAGTGCTAGGATGAGATGGGCCGCTTGCCAGAGAGAGGGAATTTGAAATGCACACATCAAGTTGCCTTTTTCCTGTGACCCTGGGGAGGACAGGAGGCAAAAAGGCTTGCCAGTGCAGGCTTCCCAAGCTCGTGTGTTAAGGAAGTACCAGGATTCAGACTGAGGAAAGAATTCCCTTTTCATGGAGCAGGGGCCCTGTGCCAACAGCAACAAGAGGATCACCCACCCATCTCTTACGCCGCTGGCCCTACAGATTTCTTCCATCTGAACTGTAGTTGGGGTCTCCACACACAGCTCTCATCAAGGCCTGTCTATGTCATGACCACAGATTGATCTCTGGCTCTAATGCTTCCCAGGAAAAGGGTCACTGCTCTTTTTGATACTCCATATCCACCCTATTAAATTCCTGTGTGGCTGCAATATAATCCCATCTGGGGACACTAATCCCCTGGCTAGTGACAGCAGATTGTCTTTGTATCAGGGTGGAAAATGATAACAACCGTATCTCTACTGCGTTCAGGGGTAATTTGGTGGATGGAGGAAAAAGAAGAAAAAAAAAAAAAAAAAAGAGAGGCCTTGCTGTGGGGAAACATGAGCATACAGTGCTTTTTCTTAAAGGCGGTCCCCACCCTTTCCAGCCCTTAGTCATGGCAGAGCTGACTTTCTCTCTTGGTCTCCCTTATTGGAAGTATTTGGCATCTGGGCAGATACTTTGTTTTCCTTCACTGAGGGCTCAATCTCCTTCCATCATTTGTTAATTAAATTTCCATCAGCAACAAGCGTCCATGTCTCCCTCCCGGCGTACAGACTCGAACTCCCATCAACATCTGTGTCCAGCATTTTACTTTTATTCCATATATTCACAGTCCCTCACCTTCCCTCAGACCAATTGCGAGGTTCTGGAGTTTGCAGGTGCCTAGGACATTCAGAGGCTTCTGTTTCGAGTTCCTGAATGTTAGAGAGCCCTTGCTGAAAGACCCAAGGCTCCTTCCTCTCTCAGATTTGGCCCTGCATGACCAAGAAGCTGGCATCGAGAGGAGCGGGGTGAAGAGACCCTGCCTTCTTACTTCTGAGTGACACAAACATGGTGGTGAGGCAGTGAAGAAAGTACCTAGTGTCACTGACTTTAATACTCAGTCCCTGCTCACATTTTTCAGCTGCTGGGATGTCAGAGAAGAAAGCTGCATCCCTCCCCATCACTACAGCTCTAGCATGCTAATACACTGCTCCAGGCCTCTGTGGTCCTGGTGCTACCCGGCCCTGCCAGGGCATGGTGTATGCCAGTCCTGCCCTGGGGGTCCCGCATACTCAGAACTCATCTCTGGCCCGCAGCTCCTTGGGGTGCTGCAGCCTGTCTGTGCCAGGCTTGTGTCTCTGGGTGATGGGCCTGGCTCCGCTGTTGGGAAAGGGAGGCTGTGAAGAGGATCTTCTGGTGCCGTCAGCCGCCTGATGTTCTTCTCCATCAGACTGGTCCTGCTCCACAGCCATCTGCTCCATCAGCTCCTCTGCCTTCACCCGCTCCTGCAGCCACGGAGACGGGAGATGATGTGAACCCCTCCCTGCTAGAGTCCTGGCTCTGCTCACAGGAGCTGAGGAGACACACCTCATCTTCGCCACCTCCAACCAAACCCCCCCAGAGCCCACTGTCTCTTGCAGGACCCATCACAGACTGGACCCTCCACCAGGGACCTTGTCAGAGGACAACCCCCCAGCTGCTGCACTAGGCTCTGCCCCACGGGAAAGCCCATGAGCCATTCCTTAGGGGGATCTGATCTCGCCTGGAGGTACTCATATCCATTTCTTCAGCGTGGTTCTTTACCTGCTCAGCATGCTCCTGGAAGTGTGTGTACCAGAGAGCAATGGCGCAGCGCCTTCCATGGGTCACTGCCCACACGCCGTGGGGGTTCTCCTTGCCAGAGCTGAAGGCTACCAGCCTCCCACACTTAGGATGCACCTCAGCCTTCCAGGAGAGAAAGAAGAGACAAAATGAAGCCAGCAACTCCCTCCTCGGGGGTACAGAGTCCTTCTACAGAGGTTACGCTGTCTCTGGGAATGTGGAACAGCAGAGAGCTGCTAGGCATCCACTGCCAGTCTATGAGCAAGATAGACCTTGGGGAGAGACAGGGAGAATCAAAGGGCAACACAGGTCACAGACACCCACAGACTGGAAGAGCCTGGAACATCTCAACTAGGAAGGAGTTAACCTCTCCTCTGTCTGAGATTTGCCTCAATTTGCCTTTAGCTGCCTCTATTTGAATCTGCCACAGAATTAGCACTGGATTGTTTCTGGAGTGGTGGGATCCAACAACAAACTAGTTCCTTCCCACCCACAATAAGTTTCACCCTCTGTCCTCTCTCTTTCTTTTGGCCAGTCCCAGACTTACTGTGACGGTCACAGTGTCCATTTCAGTGAAGAAAAGGCCCCCACCTTGGAAGTCATCATTGAGGTAGAGAATGCCACTGTAGACAAAAAGAAAGAGGACATATGGATGGTGAAGCTCATTCCTCCCAGATGCTTCCCCACGCTCCTTGTTACAGGAGGCTGTGGATACCACAGGTTCAAAAAGCAAGCAGACCAGCTAACAGGAGAATCCGTCTGGGGGTGTTAAATACAGCAGTGCCTAAGCTCAGGGGAGCCCCTGAGCTGGAAGCCACAGGAGGCTAGGAGAGCATGCCAGGGAGCTAGCTCTACGCACTGGTCCTGCTTTGGATTGGTTCATTTTTAACCCCCTGCAGCATGCATCTGTGGCACTGCTGTGACAACTCCCTGGGGCAGACAGACCTTGGTTCTGACCTGGCACGACACTGGTTACATTTTAAGATTGGTAATAATTCAAAGGCTGGAAGAGGAGACTGACCAGCAAAGAAAGAATGGTCAAAAAGAGGCCTAGTGCATGTAGAAAATAAAATTAAAACAAGAAATTTCTTTACAAATGTTAGACAAAAAGGGAAGTAGTGAGGCCACTGTGCAGTGCGGGCGAGACCACAGTCAACTGGATGAAAGAATGGGCCACAAACTGCTCAAGTTCCTCCTGGTATTCAATTAAGCCGATGATAAGAAATCATCAGAGAAACAAGAGAGGCTCGTTAATGGGACTGGGAGAAAGAAATAGAAATCAGCACTGTGGCTGCTGAAGCAAAATGTTAAGGACATAAGGACAGTGAGAGGATTACCAACCCTGAAGCCCAGGAAGTTCTAGCTCTTCTGCCACAGGGTTTTAAAAAGACTGTGAAGTCAGGGTGGTAACATGACTGGGGAAAAGTAAGGATGGCTCTCACACACATGCAGGAGCAGGAGGGTAGGGATAATGGTTGAAGCACGAACAGGCTGTTAGCCTGACCTCAGTAGTTTGCAGGGCTTTAGACTCCATCTCTGAGGAGAAGGATAATTGAAGGACAAGAGGTAAATGGCAAACAGTCTTAAAATGTAGCACGGGGCTACTAAAAGCAGATTGGGCTAGCTGTACAGTCTTTGACAAAACAGTTGATTTTCCAGGGAAAGACATCATCCTCGGTCTCAGCATCTGGACTCTGGTAGAAGTGCTCAGAATGGTACTACCAGAGAATTTACTAATGAACAGAGAACATGAAGAAGAGCACGTGAACAGCACACAGTGACTAGTGTACCACTGGTACTGAAAGGATCACTGTTTGCCCGGAGGAGGATCACTGGGACTGCTGGACCCCTGGGCTCAATCCTGTTCAATGGTTTCATTAGTGACCCTATCACAAATGCACAGAACAGGTCCAGGAAGTTTGGAGCACAGGGACCTCTTTCAAAAGGACACTGGAAGAGCTCAGCCCTTGTCAGTTAGTCGGTCGATGATCACAATTCACTCTGCAAGAGGACAGGAATACTCCTGGAAATAGGTCAGTTGCATAGATCTCAGGAAGATATTTTAACATACATCCAAGTAGAAGTCAGAGAAGCCCACGACCCAGGGAGGAGTTGAGGTGACAGCTTTCCCGCAGGAGGGAGAGAGATCTAACCAGTTACGTGACAGAGCCTGGTAACTTTACAATCTGACCATACCGAGTCAACAACTACATCAGAAAGGAAACGGACTCAATGAACTGGAATTCCCTCCAAGTCCCACATCCTCACCATAGGCTGCTCAGAGAAGATCTCTGCACTGGGTACAGCTACTGTTCACAGAAAAGGCAAATAAGATGCCCAGGGATGGGATGGTAAACGGGAGGAATCAACTGTAGTGAACTGACCTCATTTGGCTGCAGTGTGCAACAACTGTCACCATCTTTAAAATATATTTCAGGTTGTTTCACAGAAAAGTAACAAAACCCGCCAAACTCTCACACGGAATGGAAAATCCCAACACAAAGTATTGGCTGTGAATCTTGAGAGAGATGAACAGAGAGAACCATCACCAAAGTACACTGACTGCTCAAACAAAAGAAATCCAAGGAGCTTGGTTCTCCCTATCCTGTAATGCATGGAAGACTGTGAAAGATGGAACTTGATCAGAAGAAACACTGTCATAAGGGCTGGCACTGGACTGTAGTACTGTGGTAGACCCACAAGACAAAAATTTGGTATCATGGTTCTAGTCTGTGCAGCCTCCCAGCCTTGTTCTGCTCTCTGTTAATGCTGGCTGTGAGAAGAGGCAGATTTTCTTCCCAGCCTAAGGAAGGGCACACCTCATTCTGAAGCCACTGATGCAGCCTTCTGCCTGATGCTACAGTCCCTGCTGGCTTTGAGCCACCAACCCATCAGCTGGTTTCTACAAGGTGAGCTCATCTTCTGATGGGGCAGGGGAGATGTTCTGATCTCCACATGATGTAATGCAGGTGCCCTCCTCTTACCTGTAGTCCCTGTACACGTAGGCAGGCGGTTCTCTCCAGCACTCTTGCCCCTCAGGATCCAAGAGACAATTATCAGCATGGACAGGATGACTAAGATCCATGCGGCCTTCCTGTTCCCCTGGAAAGGGAAGTTACAAAAAAGAATAGCGGTATTTTCAGCTTCAAGAAAGACTAAGGCAGAGAGAAAGTGAGAGTAAAGGGAAGAGAGTCTCCTGAAAGCACATGGCTGACACCGAGGAGACTCTCCAGGAGACAGAGACTAAGAGGGTGAGAGATTCTTCACCGTCTACAGCCGTGCGGCACACAAGGTGTGTAAATGAGAAATGGAGTTTCTTCCCAGGAGTAAAATAGGACTCTATGATTTTCCGCGATTTCTCACTGGCCTGCAGAAGCAATCTGGCATCTCTCCAGTCCACGTCCCCATTCTGGGCCAGCTAGAAGTGAAAACCAAGCCTGTTAGAATACTCACATACAAAAACACTCTAAGAAATTATACACGTACACAGTACAGAACAACAGACCTATGTAAAGTCCTGTGGTCACATATGTAAAGAAAAGAACATGTTTTCTCATGTGAATGTAAGTCAGGAGTACACCTGTACGGCACAATTCTTTCCTACTGAGCACATAAAGCCACATCTGGAACGCAGCTGCATTTGGGGTCCCCCAGTACACAAGGGACACTAGCAAACTGGAGTCTTCGGTAAAGGGTCTTAAGATGGCAAAGGTGTTGGAGCACAAGACTTAGAAAAAGAGGCTGAAGGAGCTGGGTTTCTTCAGCCTAGAGAAGGCCAAAGGAGGATCTAACTACAGTCTCCTGTCACCTAAAAGGGGTTTACAGAGAAGATGGAGACAATCTCTTCTCTGAGGACACAATGGAAAGACAAGAGGCAACATGTGAAAGCAGCAGCAAGGGAACTTTTGGCTAGATATGAAGAATAATTCCCCTGAGAGGGGTACATCACTGAAACAGGTGGCCAGAAAGGCTGGAGAATTTCTACCCTTGGAGATACTCAGGACTTGCCTGTGCAAAGCCCTGAGGGATCTTATCTAGCTTTGGAGTTAGCCATGCTGTGAGCAGGGGGTTGGACTCAAGATTGCCAGGGGCTCCTTCCACCTTTATTTATTCTCCAATTCTAAGGTAAGCATGTCTGTAAGACCACTGCACCGGTACAAGCAGCAAACCCAAAACCCTGTCTCACAGGAGAGAAAGCACTTGTCAATTCCTCCATGTACAACGTACCTAAGCATGATCATGGAGGAAGAGTGTCAGGGGAGACTGCACATGCGCTTGTGAGGAAGATAACACACCCATGACCCCATCCAGAGTGCACTTCACAGAGAAAAATGCTTGGCTGGCTGTCCTGGGTTTGAGTGAGTGGTGGGTTTTTTTCATAGCAAGGAAGGGGGGCTACAGCGGTGGCCCCTGTGAGAAGCTTCTCAAAGCTCCTCTGGCTCCAAGTCAGATCCGTCTCTGCACCAAGGCCAAGCCAGTCAGCTGCGCCTCTGTGATAACGTATTTAAGAAGGGACTTGTGAGGAGGAGTTGCTGCAGCTGCGTGAACACCAAGGTCAGTGGAGGAACGGAGGAAGAAAGGAGGGGGGAGGTGTGCTGGAGCAGAGACCCCCCTGTATCCTGTGGTGAGATGGCAGGGCAGCCCCCCTGCCACCCATGAAGGTCTACGGCAGAGCAGACACTGATTTATGGCCTGCGAGGGGCCTCATATGGTTTGCTAAAGTGTCTATGCCCAAAGGAGGCCGGGATCTTGTGAGAAGAAGCAGCCCCCGCTGTTGTAGTTCAGTGCTGGGAGGATTGCAAAGCGTGGGGGTGTTCCACGCCAGAGCAGCTCAGGAAGGGCTGCAGCCTGTGGGAGGGATTCCAGTTGGAGAAAGTTGGTGACCCACGCCGGAGCAACTAGGGAAACACTGTGGCCTGTGGGAGGGACTCATGTCGGAGAAAAGTTTGTGGACTGTCTCCAGTGAGAAGGGGACCACGCTGGAGCAGGGGGAAGATGTTCCAGAAGCTCCCCCACCGAAGATGGAAGAAGCAGCAGCACTGACTGCACCCCCCATTCCCTGCCCCTGTGTGGCTGAGGGGAGGAGGTAGAGATAGCAGGAGCAAAGCTGAGCCCGGGAAGAAGGGAGGGGTGGGGGTAAGTGTTTCAAAGCTGTGGTAATGCTTCCTACTGTCCTACTCTGTTAAGTGTTGTCAGTGTCTGTAATAAATCCATGTTCTTTTTTTCTTCCCCTAACGAGTCTGCCTTTTGTCCATGACCATACTGTGTGATTTATCCCTCCCTGACCTATCTCGACTCCCAAGCCTGGCTTATTTTCTCCTTCTCAGTGCTGGGGGGTGAAGGGGGAAGTGAGCAGCCACGTGGTGCTCAGTTGCCTTCTGAGCTCAGACCACCGATCCTTCTGCTTTATTTTCTCCTTCTCAGTGCTGGAGGGGAAGGGGGGAGTGAGCGGCTGTGAGGTACTCGGTTGCTCTCTGAGCTCAAACCATGATAGTGGCAAGCACTCTTGCTGGACAATCAAGAAGGTGGCAGACTCACAGAGCCACTTACCTGCATGGCCTTCAAAACAGTTAACCCTTCAAATCTCTCATGTGGTGTGTGAGGTGACCGTCTTGCCCGGTAGCCATCTCCTGCTTCTCCTGCTGCCTGGAATAAAAGGATACAGATGACACACATTAGGCTGCCATCTCTCCTCCGTGAAAACATTACAACCCTGCCTGCTGATGAATAAAGTACAGTACACATACAGGAGCTCCTACAAGACCCAGGCCTCACCTTTGTCAGTCGGAGAAGGTCCTTACACTCAGACTCTGTCAGCACTCTGTCGAACACAACCCTCTGGGTTCCATTCATCTGGTGGGAATCCACTGTGATAGTAATACCCTCAAAAGGCAAAGGACCTGTTGAGAATCAAGTACAGACAGGCATGAGCAAGCTTTTGACAAGAAGCCCACAGCCACCAACCCCCAGCCTGGACAAGGAAGTGAAGAGACACTATACATTCTCTGAGAAGACAGGACAGTTCCCCAGAAGTGCCCATTCCTTGCAGACCTGAGCCACTTGCACCCCTCACATGCTGCAGGGGAACCAGAGCATCAGCTGGGGAAGCTGGCCTACAGCGAGTGCTTCAGGAGCCAGCAGAAACTTGGGGCTTGCTGGGAGAGCAGCAGGGAGCTGGGTTAAGTTGAGTGCACTGTGGATCACAGCAGCAGAACAGGTCCAGCCTACTGGGGTGAGGCTCTGGAGGAAAAAAAAGCAGGTAAACACCTCCATCAACCCTCCTTTCGTTCACACACCTTATTACCAGAATTATCTCCAGTGAATCTTTCTACTTTCTTCAGCCCCAAAGAGAAGCAATGGGTATTCGTTGGTAATTCGATTTTTGGCCTTTTCCCACCCCCCCTCTGACCTCAGGAATGCCAAGGCACTCAGGCCCTCAGTGCTCTTCCACGTGCCACAGCAGAGAACCACTTGGAGTGACTTCAAGCGGAACTCCAGGACAGAGCCTCACAAGAGGCTGTGTGTCCACACATAAGAATAGAGGGCCAGCAAGAACATGGCACTCTGCACTGCAGTCTACAGCATTCAGCCACAAACCCTTTGGACTTGCGTTTTTCAGGGAAAGACTTGCCCAAGCCGAATAGTCTGTTTCCAGTTTCCACTTCCACCCCCCCCTCTCCTTGTCCCCTTCAGAAAAATGTTGTTTGAAGTCAGGCTGGTGGAGTTGAACCAGGTTTGGTGTAAACACCGCTGCCACACTGAACAGGGATCTGCATGTCCACAGGCTTGTCAGGTATTCAGGCACCACTGCTCTCAGCTTCTCCAGCCACAGTGCTCTTTGAGTTCTCATCCCAGAGACGTACACAGTGAGATTTTGCAAGATTACGCATGCATCAGAGGGAGAAAAACAGTGAGAAGACTTGCTGAGTCATTCGAGTCAGTCTGCATCTATGCTAGCATTCAGATGTCTGAGAATGGAAGAAAAGACAGCACTTAGCCTGACTAAGCCTGGCTGACTGCATCCAAATCCTTCTTCAAGCTCTTTTACCTACCCCTCTTCTTCCTCTCTTCCACATCCAGAGTTTCCTGCTTTTGCTTCTCCTGATCCTCTCTCGGGAGCAAGGGAAAAAACAGAGACCAGGGCTGTCAGTACACAGAGCTACGCCTAACCATCCTGTGGTAACATTTCGCACCCTTCCTGTTCCTGTCTTGCCCATTCCTCAGTAGGTATTACTATTCATTGTACCCTCCCTGCCAGTCCAACCCCATCCCCTACTTCCAACACTTATGTATCAGTCCTAGTTGACTTGGCCAACCTTACCTGTGTTTCTCCTTTAGGTTTTCAGGAATCAGCTCATCTGGAGTCCAAAGATCCTGTAGGAACAAATGCAGATGGTTCAGTACACAACAAACTTCTCCTACATCAGACCATATCAAACAGTCAGCTCCTTGTCCCACTTCTCCAATGAGTATCAGACCAATGGTTCTGGCCTGTTTCTGACAACAGCCAGATTGGGCTGATACCTATGGTTACAGCAGCAATTTCAAACTAAATTCAGTCCTGGAGCAGTGAAAAGGCCTTAAAGATCCACCTCAGGAGGACTTGGGGGTTGTTCTCATCAGCATCTGATCCTTTCTGGATCATGTGCTACTGAAGTGAATTCCGGCAACTGCCTTGGTGATATAAGGGCAGGAAGATGACACTGTTACTTACAGGGTCGTTAAAAGTTCCTCCTAGATGCTCCACTGCATAATAAATCAATCTCTTCTCCATCAGAGATCTCTTCACATAATGTTGAATAGTCTAAGGAAGCAAAGAGACTGTCAAACAACCACCGCGCAAAAGACAACCGCATCCCTGTCCAGGGCAGAAACCTGCCCCAACACACTGCTGTGCACTAGGAAAGTCTAGTTCTGCCCTGAAGGGGCCCTGTCTGGTACAGACTACAAGTAAACTCAGACTCCAGTTTCTTCAGTCCTGGGTTTGGCACACACCTCCAGTGATACGTTTCCCTCTTTTGTCTCCTGGACTGTGATTCTGTCGTGTGAGGAGGGGCAAAATGTACAGACCTGGGGTTGTAACTACCTCTCTGGCTGTGACAGCTGTGTCCTCTCCCAGTTCTATGCGATACTGTTTCATTTTCTCCAACATTGGCTCATCCGTGGGATAGAAGAGCAAGTAGGAAGCAGCACATTCAGCAGCGAGTGCCTGGTTCCCAACTTGGGCAGGGACAGAACAGAACAAACAGAAATGTTTCTGAAAGACTTGATGTCAACAGCAAATGTGTATAGGCCGGCAGCACCCAACACCCCAGTCAGGATCTGGCCGTAGGAGGGCCTTGCACTGAGTACAGTTTAATCCCTGCCTAGTTGGGCCTCTACCCAGTGACGGGCAGAGAATACAGGGAATGAGCCCAGTGAAAAATGGGCCCACTTTCAATGCTTATTGGGAGCTCGCTCAGAGGAGACAGAGACAAAATAAGTATACATTTGGAAGAAAGACAGTCCCGCCTCCCTTACCCAACAGATATGATGAGGGGCCTGGAGGCTTCTTTGAGATACAAGTTTTACCAATGGTCTGACAGAGACAGTTGGGTCAGAGTGGGAAGGAGCAGAGGTATCCAAGAGAAGAGCTGAGGGATGTGTGAAAGCGACAGGGTGACAGGATGACCAATGTCATGACAGGCCATCAGTTCAGCGAGGGCAGGCAGGGCTGACTCGGAAGGAACACCACTGTTAAGATGAGATGCACGTGCATGCTCTAGATAGGAAGTGGGGGCCTGGTCTAGAGCCACGTACTAAAAGGGAGGGTATAAAATACACAGTGGATGGTTGGAGCAAGGACTTGAAATGGAGAGTGCTGAGAGAAGTGGGAACAGCCAGACATTACAGAAGCTGCACACAGAGACTGAAGTGGACCACAAGGGACCTCTCCAAAGGTGGCCATAGGCTTGAGCAAGGGAAGAGAGGTCCTGGGAAGAGCCAGGGGCAGAAGGGGGTAGAGGGAAGTAGAGCTCCGGTCAGTGTGCTGCTTCACCCCATGACAGGCTGCCCTCAAGGCCCAAAGGCAAAGGGCAAGTTTAGGGGTGCCACAGCATGACCCACTGGGTTGTGGTTTTGCTCACCTTGATCGTAGGCAAACTGCAGTAAATCAAGATGAGAGGGTATGAAATCTTCCGTGGCAGAAATCCGCCCCGGCTTTGTGGCAATTTCAAGGATGCACTGCTGTCTGCACTTCAAAACCTGAATATAATGGGCTGCAAGAGAGAGGAGGAAGAAAGGCAGTAGCTCACACTTCCTCCAGAGAGGAGCATGGGGAAATGGGGCATGTCCAGTGCAGGGAGCATGGCCTCCCTACCCAACCCTCTGTGCGTCTAACGCTACCTGCAATAGCTTCATACAGGCCAGGTTGCATCTCCTCCTCCTTGTCCTCATCCTCCCAAGGCCCTTCACACAGGGCACGACACTCTTCCAGTGCTGACAGCGCCTCCGTGAGTGACTCCTCCAGCCTGGCTGCAGCCTGCAGGTACTCATCTGCATTGTAGTGCTGTACCCCAGCCTCATATGCTTCCTGCGAAGGACAGATCCAGGTCCCTCATCAGTGTGGGTGACACCAAAAGACACCCTGAGACTTAGCAGGGTAGTGCTGACATCTAGGGGCCTGCCTGATTATCCACAGCCCTCCATGCGGCGACAGCGAATCTTCTGGATTTAAGCCAAATATACTTCTCAAAGGCCCTGCAGCCTGATGTAACCGTCACCAGAAAGTGTCTGTGTCACACTTGCAATGACTTGTCTTCACCCTGAACAGGTTTCAGGCAGACCCTCTTGCAGCCTTTCAAATATAAACGGGGCTTATAAGAAAGACTGAGTGAGACTTCTGACCGAGGCCTGTAGTGACAGGACAAGGGGCAACCATTTTAAAGTGAAAGAGGGTAGATTTAGATTGGAGATAAGGAAGACATTTGTTATGATAGGGTGGTGAGACACTAGAGCAGGTTGCCCAGAGGAGTTGGGGATGGCCCACCACCGGCAGTGTTTAAAGCCAGGTCAGACAGGGCTTCGGGCAACCTGATCTAGTGAAAGATGTCCCTGCCCAAAGCAGGGGACTAGGTGATGTTTAAAGGTCCCTTCCAGCCTAAACCATTCTATGATTCTATGGACAGGGGCACTGTCTCAAGCCCCATATGGCGCTTGTGTGGAAGCAGACCGGGGTCCCTGACTGGTGCCTCGGATGGGCTAAGAGCTGTTGATGCCTGGCTCTGCACTGAACCCTCACCCAGTGCGGCGTGGCCTCCAGGTCCCGAAAGTTGTCCGACTTCACCCCTGACATACGCCGGTACTTCTCTATGTCCTCCCGCATTTGGAGGTGCTGGGGATTAGCAACGAAGAAGGTGTGAGCAGCAGACACGGCCTGATCCAGCTTCTTCAGCTGTGGAGAAAAGGCAGCAGAGCCTGTCACGCTCCTGCAGGTCCCCTTCTCCACACAGCCACCCCTCGCCCCAGCTGCCCCCCCCCCCCGGATCCACCCACCTCGGCTGCCCTGAAAGCCCCTGGCCAGGGGCTAGCGAGCCCCTGCTCACCACCTCCTCAGCTGGCCGGGGGCCCTCCAGGAGAGCCGCGCAGAGCCAGCACCCTGCCTTTGCTGACAAGAGGCCCTCGGCGCCTGCCCGGGGGTGACAACTCCCAGCCCCTCCGGGGAGACCCCACCCCGGGGGGGTGGGGGGGGCCCTCGCCTCCGCCAGGGCCGGTGCCCACCTGGAAGAAGGCCACCTGGAGGTAGTTGTAGGGCTCCCTCTGCTCGAAGTCCCGGCGGATGGTGTGGCTGGCGCGGTGGGCCGAGGGCGCGGCGCCCAGCCGGAGCCCCAGGCAGTTCTGCAAGCAGTCGGCGCGCTGCAGCACCCGGCCGAAGAGGGCGGCCTCCCAGGGCCCGGCCCCCGGCGGCCCGCCGAGGAAGGCCGCCTCCCGGCGGCAAGCGGCGCGGCAGGCGCGGCGGGCCTCCCGCAGCCCCGCGTAGCTGTGGAGGGCGCGCTGCAGCAGCTCCACCGCCCGCCCCCAGTCCCGGGCGAAGTAGGCCCGCACCCCGTCCGCGTACAGCAGGTCGTAAGGGACCAGGCGGCCCGGCGACGTGGCGGCTGCGGCCACGAGAAGGAGGAGGAAGAGGAGGGGGGCCATGGCCGAGCCGCCGCGGAGGAGAAGCGGGGGGGGGGGGGGGGAGCTCCGTGGCGGGCAGACGCCCTAGCGGGCCCCGGGCTAGGCCCACCCAGGGGGCCGGGCCGGCGGGCGGTGCCGGGGCCGCGGTGGGCGGGCAGCTCGGCGTCCAGGTCGGGGGGCAGGGGAGGCTGGCGGAGGCGAGGCCCGGCCCCCGGCCCCCGGGTCTCCCCGCGGTTGCGGGTCCTGCCGCGCCGGCTGAGACCCGTCGCCGCTTCGCGGGCGGCCGGACCAGCCCGGCACCAGTCCCGCGCGGGCCGGCAGAGCCCCGGCGCCTTGCTGCCTGCGTGGTTCTTCGTCCGGGCACCCCAGCGCTAACCCTCTCCCAGGTACGGGCCACCCCCAACGAGACGTCTCGAAGGAGGTTATGGTAAATCTGCCAGCGTCCACGGCGGGGAGGAGGCACACCTTGACAGTTCAATAGACCGAGTCCCCGCACATGCAGAAGCACTCTGGAGGGGAAGGGCTACCTCTCTTCCACAGCCCCTCCAACGCAGCCAAAGCCTTGCCCAGGGCTGGAACAACAGCCAGCACCAGGCAGGAGAAGGTCCATCTCCCACACACTGCCTCTGCACCTTCCTTCCGAGAGTTTTGTGTGGGACAGGAGCCTGCTCCGGACCTCACCATTCCCGGCTTCAATGGTGTGGGCAGTCGGGGGCCTTCCCCCTGGAAGGCTCTGTCAGCTTTCCTGTTCAGGTGAGAAGTTTGGGCTTCACACAAAGTTTGCACCGGAATCAACAGTTTGCACCGGGTCTTTTCGGTGACAATTGCTTTCAAGCCTGGAGTTACCTCAAAGCTATATTAGAAAGCACAGGGGCTGCTCCTATTTAGCTGTTGGCAGCCTAAGTCTCCCCTGAAATGGACAGAAAAACTTTTCACCCAGTCTTCCATGGCAGGTCCTCTATGGGCTTCACTCCCTTCCCTGGGCTGCTAAGCATCTGCTGTCTTACAGATGCACTGACAAGAAAGGGATGGAGAGGGAGGAAAGGAGCCTCGCACATCCCGCATTTCCCTTCCAGAAGCCTGTGAAGCTTCATTAAACATTTGGGCCAGTCATTTTGTTTCTATGGAAAGAAAATTATTACTAATATATTATTTTAAAAACAGACACACGATTGACACTCCAAATATAGAATTTTAATACCATTCTGCACCTGCCTTGTCTCTGAGGGCAGAGTGGATGCGAGGGTGGAGTTCACAAAGGGACAGGACTGGCGAGGGTGCCAAGTGGCGGTGGCAGCGGTGGGTGTGTGTGTAACCTGAGAGCAGGCACAGGCTGTCAGTCAGTCCATTTTGTTCCCTCCTGCGGGTCTGTCTCGCTTCTTTTCCCCCCACCAGCGTGGGGTGCGGTGTTTCCTGCCTGCTGGCGAGAAAGATGAGAATGCAAATTAGTGATCAGGTCCTGGGACAAAGAGAACACTCAAAGTTTTATTTAAAAATCGTGATGGCACTGAATGTTTCTGATGTTGTCTCTCATAGTCTGGGATCCTGGAAGGTCTGTGCCTCACAGGCCTCAAGGGTCCTTTCACCCGACGCCTGCTCTCCTTCCTGCAGATGCCAGGCTTCATTGCCAGCCAAAGAGCAGCGCCGTGGCCGGTCGGTGTTCTCCTCCTCTCTGCTGCCAAGGGAGAGGCGGCGATCGTGGCGTGATGCGAGCGGGAGACGGGAGTGCCGTGGGCTGCAGGCTGGGGTGGGTTGTGGCGTCTCGTCAATGAACGTGGTGATCTCATCTCGGAAGAAGCAGGCGCTGGAGCTGGAGCCCCGAGGCATCAGCCCTCCCTCCAGAAACTGTCGTAAGGTTGTCAGCTCATCTTCTGGGGGCCGCCGGCGGTGCTGGTAGTCATGCAGCTGAGAAGGCAAGAAGCTGGGGCCACCAGGCTTGTGGGGGGTGGAAATGCGGATGTCATCAGATGAAGACCACTTGTGTAGGAAGGATGGAGCAGAGCGGTGGGCGGAGAAGATGTTAGTCTCATCATGTGACATTCTCCGGGAGATAGGGACCTGGAAAACAGCGAAGGAGGCAGGTGACGGAAGACTTGAAGAGACAGAACAGGAGGAGAGTAGCTGAGGCCTTCTCAGAGAAGAGAGTCAAGAGGACGCAAAAGCATGGGGGACTGACAGAGAAGGAAGTGGGCTGCGTGGCTACCCCTGCTAGCTCTTGGCTCACCTGCAGGTAGTGCACCTTGTCCTGGGGCAACAACATGTGGTGCATGGGTAGCAGCTTGATGTCCCGGGAATCCCGCTTCACAGCTGCAGCACCGTTCGCGTCAAATCTCACTTTGCAGATCCTGCCATCGCCATAATCATCACACGCACCATCTGTTGGCAAAGGGGAGAATGGCAGTCAACACTTTTCAGCCAGAAGAGGAGCGTTATCATGGCACCTCGATGCCATCCGAATGCTTATCTGACTTCTGCCGCCCTCAGGGCTCACCTCTGAACAAGGACCTCGTCTTTCTGATTGCAGCAGCACTAAAGGACACAGAGACCGACCTGTTTCTTCTGTTTCGCTTTTGAATTGCTCACTGCCAGAACTTGGGCCTTTGGATCAGTGAGTTGGGCTGAGGCCCGGTGTGCCACTTCCATTGTGGCTTGGCAGCTGTACACACAGTCTCTACTCTTGCACCTACAGTGAAGGATGTTGCACTAATTTCCTACTCTTGCACCTACTGTGAAGGATGTTGCACTAATTTTTTCTGGATGATAGTGAATCCTAAAGCAGAAAGTGAGTGGCAGAGACTTCTCCAGAATAAATTTCCTCATGATTGCTGACTCCAAGCTGTAACATGAATCCCACCTAGCCACCTACACCACCACTCCTAGTGCCGTCAGGGCCTTTTCCCAAGGCAGACCTCTCTTTCCTCTGTAGTCTTTTGGGAAGGGGGTTAGTGAAGAAAGGTGACGGTGGGGTGGTGAGGTACTCACCATCATCTCCGTCTTCCTCAGACATGATAGCCACGCACTGCTCCCACACGGTGCGGAGATCTGCTCGGTAGCGCTCACAGGACCAGATGAAGGAGGGGAGCAGCAGGGTCTGCACCATGGAGCACCAGAGCACAGCCAGGACCATCCAGGTGGGGGCCGTATCATAGCGCAGGCTAAAAAAACTCACAACCTTCGAGGTAAGAGAGAGAAACAATGCTGAGGAAGAAGACAGAAGCGCGGATCAAGGGAGAAAGATACCAGGAGTCAAGTCTGTAGTAGAACATAATCTGCCTGCAAAGGATTCGTCAAGTAACTACCCCGTGCCCCATTGAAAAACTGTTCCTGGGGTGTTTCCCCAGTTTTGCTGGAATATATTTCGAGCTGTTATAGCTCTAACACGAGGCATCGTGTTAGCATCCCTTCTTTTTCCGTGCTCATTATGAACTGGAGCTAAATAGGTGCCAACGAAGGACACAGCCACTGGAAAAAAACCCAAACATCTGAGACTAAGCCTCTGTTCTCTTAACGGTGCCCTTTGAGAACTTCCCCAGCTCTCCAGTTTCACGGAGAATTAACCAGCCAGCCAAAACCTGAATGCTGACTACGACCATACAAGCAGAAAGAAAAAGAAAACTGTCTGCAACAGCTTTTAAAGAAGGAAATTGGAGAAACAGAAATCTCACTGTTTTTACAAAGGTAGATTCCCCCCTGTAAGTTTGCAGAGTAATTCCCTCTCCTCGTAGCCACTTAAAACTTTCACAGTGGTTTTAGCTGTGCGGTGTGTATTCCTCAGGCTTAGCCTTAAGAAACTGCTGCTGCAGAAGGGTGGAGAGAATTACTGGAATCTTTTTAAAATGGGCCCTCAGAATAACACAGATTCAGATGCAGCGACTCTGTGGCTGGTGGACAGAAGACAGAGTTTTTTCTCTAAAACTTGGGAGAAATGAAAATCTAGCTTAACTGCAGACTCTGAAGGGGAAAGGGAGAACTTGCTGCTTACCAGGATAGGCACCCCAGTGAGTGTGTCATACAGGAAGACAATAGCACTGATGAGGTTGGTCATCTGCAAGGAGGTCTTGGCTGACTCGGAGCCATCCAGTGAAGACCTCCTTTTGCCTCGTACGTCCTCCACTACAATGGCCGGCACGTTGAAAGTGGTGTGTGCTGATGAAGAGCAGGATGACGCTTCCTCTGCCCTCTGATGGCGGCACTGCTGGCGTCTTCTATGCGCCCACAGGGTCTGGTAGAAAGTGATCCCCACGCACACCAAGCCCATGACGATTCCTCCGAGCAGCAGGAGGCTAAAGCAGACACCGAAGCCCAGCCCTATCTTGCTGACAATGAACTGGCAGCCACGGGCATAGTAGCGCTCGCCGTTATTGTGCCAGCCGATGGAGGGCAGGGTGGAGAGGATGAATGATACCATCCAGATACCCATGACTGCATGCAGAGCCTGCTTCTTGGCATTGCTCAGCCGGTAGTTGACTGGCCACCTCACCATCCACATCCTGTGGTAGGAAAGGGAGGCCACCGTGAAGCAGGTGGCCAGCGCCAGGGTGTAGTATGTGGAGACGAAGACCTTGCAGATGCTTTCGTTCCAGTCGTAGTCGGAGGACTCGCGCCGCAGCTGTACCACAGCATAGGTGGTGAGGGGTACCGCTGCCATAAGGATGTGGGTCCCAGCAAGGAAGCACAGCAGCAGCTCCAGGGGCTTGTGTTTCTGTTGTTTGGCTGTGATGCTGAGGATAATCCAAGAGTTGGCCAACAGGGCTAACATCCCACATGCCAGCCACCACAGTGAGTTGTTGTGCAAGGTGGACTCTGATTCAGAGTCCCCCATGCTGCCACCCCGGCTAGGCTGCACTCTGTCCCTGCTGTTTGGATTTTGTAAGAGGCCGAGTGGGACTCCGCACTAGGGGAGCCACGTCCCTCCTCATCTGCTGCTGCTGCTGCAGCGTGAGGTGTATGCACACTGGAGGGGTTCCTCAAGGCATTGCCACCGGGTGCTAGGTGGAACAGCCGTCAACTGTCTCACTTTCACTCCTCCCTTTCCCTTCTGCTTGATTATATTTCTTTCCCTTGTTCTAACTTTTTTACCTGTTTTTTCCCTTGTTCTCTTTCTTTTTCTTTCTCCCACCTTCTCCCTCTCTCCTTCTCACGAACACTTGCCAGTGCTTCTTCCCTCACTTGCTTGGGCTCACTTTTTTTTTTCCTCCCCATCTATTTCATCCCCCTCCTTCACTCTCCCCCCAAAGAAAAAGCTCTCCTTACTTCATGTGCCCACCAGACACCATCAGTCTCAGGGGCCACCTTCTGCTGGGGCTGGTGAAGGCCACACACAAAAAGGGACTGCTGGGGACTCCAAAGAGTTTGGTCGGAGCAGGTACCTGCTGCCCAGCGTCCTATTGAGTGAGGAGCCAGCCAAGAGTTCCAGAGATGACGGGAGGTTGGACAAAGGTCCCGCTCAAACGGTGAGGGTGGCACACATACCGTGTGTAATCCCGCTCTCACCAAATGCCACACTTGTGGCCAAGGCTGTCAGAGAGCCATCAGCTGAGAGTGAAGGGTGAGGAACAAGATTCAGAGGGTTCCCTATCCAAGACCTCACAGCATCCTCACTACATTGTCCTTCTTGCTGTCCTCCAAGGCTTAGCCTGCTCTTTCAAGCTTTTCTGAACAACACAGGGCAGAGCTGGCAAACGGAGACGGCAGGGAGGGGAAGATCCTTTTCAAAGGTTCCCTTGGAGATTCAGGGCATGAGGTTCACTGTAGAAGAGAGAAAAGAGAAAAAGCAATTTAAGATCATTCTGTGTCTCCAGATCTCTCTCTCTCTCTCATAAACACTCTGCCATGATTTCGGCTGTGTAGAGCATTCCCTGTGTCTTTCAGGGAACAGAAGAGCCAGATTTGCACCAGTACTTGCATACCTCAGGCTGGACTTTGGCCCCCAGCAACTCCTTCCAGTGCTACTGAGGCATGCTGTGCCCCCTGCCCTTCCCGTCTCGGGGTCCCCACCCAAAGCATTACCGATGCCATTTCTGGAACGGAAGGCCTGATTCACATCACTCCCTGCCATTTTGGGTCCTGCCCTCCCCACGCACCCACTCCAACACCCCTCACTCCTGCCATACAGCTCTCACAGCTACGCCAGTCTTTGGACCTCAGCTTTTCTCTGCCAAAGCTCTGGATTTTAACTCGCTGCTCCCGTCCTGTCCCACCCACGGATGCATGCCACCACTCCAGCAATATCCTGCCATCCCGCAATCTTGAAGCACAAGTCTGTCAGCCACACGCCTCGCCCACCCTAGCGCATTTCTGCTAGAGTAGCTCTGGTCTCCAGACACTCCAGCTAAAAACCCAGAAAACGAGACTGCTAACCAAGTCCTGAGACTACTCACCTTTGCCAGTGACCCCTGGTCCTACCAGCTCAGACTCCCTCTCCCATCTTCATCTACAGGGGACACCCAAGCCGTATATTCCAGGAAGGTACAGGCCTGCTTCACGCCTTGAGTGGAGCCGATGTAAACTTAATCTTCCCGTGGATGGATTAGTGGCCCCTCAGTCTGAGCTAGTGGCTCAGTTCCCACCCCTCTCCTTCCTTCTGCTCCTCTGTATTCTCACCCTCCCTGTAACCACCTGAGGCTCTTCCTCCTTTTCCTCCCCACTTGGAGCAGTTTGCCATGACAGGATTGGTGATGCCCTCGTTCTGTCCTGGCTCATCTTTTCTCCCCCAGTGCCGTCACTCTTGCAGTTAGGCCTGTGGCCTCTGGAGACAGTTAGGAAGCTAGCCGGCCCTGATAATCCCAGGGGAATGAATTTCCTTGCAGCATCTCCTTCTGTAGCCCTTCCCACCCGGCTTGTCCTGGTGGCCCACGCTGTTCCTTCAATGAGGCAGGAACCCTCCTGCCTCTGCCGGCGTCGGGGCCCAATTCTGCTCCAAGCTGTGGTCCTCCTGCTCCCGGAGACGGGAGACCCCGCGGAGCTGATGCAGGACGGCCGGGTCGGGGAAGCCCACCCGGACCCGCTCCCCGGTCAGAGCCACCTGCTTTATTCCACCGCCCATCCCACCAGCGGGGCGAGGAGAGACTCCCGGGGCCGGTGACTCAGGAGAAGGCAATGGCGGGGGGGGGGTCGGAGGGGGAGATGACCCAGAATAATTGCACGGAAGAGCTGAGAAAACTGGGGTACCGGGGGATACGGCCGGGGGCCGAGGTGCGGTGCTGCCCCCCCGCCGCCCCCTCCCTTTCCGGGAACGGTCGCGGCTCCCGCGGCGGCCGGGGGGACGGGGGACGGGGGGGGGGGGGCCGGGCCGGGCCGCCCCGAGCCTCACCCGGCGGCGGCGCAGCGAAGCGGTGCGGCCGGGGCTGGGCTGGGCGGGGGCCGCGGAGCCCGCGGGGCGCCCCGGGGCGCGGCCGCCGTCCCGCAGCGGCGCCGCCCTGCGCGCAGCGGAGCGGGGGCCGGCGGCGGCGGGGGCGGAGGGGGGGGCGCCGATGGCGACGGCGGGGGCCGGAGGGACCCATCTTACCTCTCGCCGGAGCAAGCGCTGCCATGGCGACGGGCGCCCCGCGCGGCTGTGCGCGCCTCTGCCCGGCTTGTGCCCGCCGGCACCCCCCCCCCCCGGCCCCGGCCGCCGCAGCGGACGCCGCAGGCAGCCGCCCCGGCCCCGCGCTCCGGCCATCCGCCGGGCGGGGCGACGGCGAGGGGCGAGGGGCGGGGAGCGCTGGCGGGGGACGGCGGCGGGAGCACCGCCGGGCCGAGCAGCCAGGGGGCGGGCCGGCCCCGCCGCCCCGGCCCCGGCCCCGCCGCCCCGGCCCCGGCCCCTCCCGGCCGTCCCGGCGGGCCCGGGGCGGCGGCGCGGGCTGCGCCCGACTGTGCCGGGGGCCGCGCCGCTCCCGGTGCTGGTCTTGGCCCGGGCCCAGCCACGGGGGCCGCTGCTGCCGGGCCCCAGCCGGCTCCGTCTCGTAGGCGCCCCTCCTGCCCCACGGGGCAAGCCGGGCCACCCCCAGGAATACGAGTTGCAGGGCGAGGAGGCGCCTGGCTCCCGTTCCCGAAAAAAAGAGGGCTGTGGCGGGGCACCCGGGCTGAAAGAGATGTCGGGAGGATGGGTGCTGCCACCAGAGGAAAGGCGAAGAGCTGGTGCTAAGGGATGCTTAGAGAGCAAGGGTGACCAGGGCACCGGCGGCCCTGGGTGAGCCGTGCTTAGCAGAGCTAACTCTGCTCAGCTGTGGTGGCAGCCCCTTCCGACACCAGCTGTCACCGTGGTCCCACAAACAGGGAAAGAGGAAGAGAAGAAACGGGCTAGAGCGGGTGTAGTTGGTCATGTCACAGGGGTAAAGCTCCCCTCCCGTCTGTGTCACCTCAGTGAGGGCAATCTTGGCTAGAAAGTCTTCACAAGGCAGCGAACATCTCGTTTTCCTGTTACCGTCTTTGCTACTGAAGTGAAGGCGCCAGCACTTTCCTTGTCTTTGTTCCTTTTAGGAACTGGTATCTACCAAAATCCCTTCCTCCATCAGAACTGGGGTGGGATGGGTGTCCATGTTTCTGGACAGTTAGGATGCAGCTGCATTAGCACCTCAGTTTGGATCAGGAGAACATGAACAGTTAAGGTGAAAGGACCTGCAAGAGGTACAGCAAATGTGCTCTGAGGACTATGAGAATTCAGCTTTGCTTTGGGCTAGCGTTATTCTGAAGTAAGCCCCCCCAGATACCTACAGAGTGACCACTAAGTCCTCAGCATCAAGCTGTTTTCCTCTACAGATGTGTTCCTACTGCATCACCCTGTTTGGTAAAGTAGACCTGACCATATGGATCCAGGGTCTGCTCAGCTTTATCACTCCCTCTGACAAAGCAGATTTCGCACATCATTCCAAATATTGGCTGAGGTGATCCCAAGTGCCTTGGATGCCAAGGTTTGCGGAAGGAGAGACTCCTGAGTAAGAAAGCTGGAGGTGATGCCGGTTCTCAGGCCCAGGGGCAGCAGTGAAGGCAGTTCCAGAGGTATTCAGATCATCTCTGAGGCAAGACCTGATTGCATTGCACTAGCCATTGTGACTGGGACCTGCTTTAGGGTCATTGAGTAGAATCAGGAACCACTAGAATAGATCTGGCTTTGTGTCAGGTAGGTGATAGATATTTTTGAGGAAGGCAGGTGGTGACGATGCTGCCATGGTCTGGCTATTCTTTGGCATACAAGAACTGCCACAGTGGAACAGTCCTGAAACACCTCAGTGGTCAGTCCAGCAATGGCAGTAGCTGGAGATGTGAGAAGGGACAATTATTGCCCTCCTCAGTCATTTCTTTTCAACTCCTGTAATTTGTGGGAGAAGGTCTATACCCACAAATGTAAACATTTGTGCAGCTCCAATTGTGTCATTTGTATGAATTACTTAATGTGATAACTTCCACATTACCATCCTCTTCTGATTCAGAAGTTGAGTCTCCTTCGCATGAGTTGTTAGCCTGCCTGCGTGGGTGAATAAATGCTCCTGTTATCTCAGGGAAACAGCAAACCAAGCTTCCGGCACTTTCTGCACTGCCTGCCTGCCTCAGGTCTGCTCAGGTAGGGACATCCTGCAGCCTGGCTTGGGCTACACCCGACAGAGATTGCTGAGCAGAGCTGGATGGGGACAGATCCTCCTTTCTTGAGGAGGCTTCTTGTGTTTGAAAATGTGGCTGGGTTCGTAGTTTCAATGAAAGCATAAAATTGAAGATTTACTGTGAAGTGTAACAAGCTCAGTGGGAAGGAGAGTTTCTGCCCTAGGGCTGTCATACTGCCAAGCAGATGCTCGTCCATCCATCCATCCATCCATCCATCCATCCATCCATCCATCCATCCATCCATCCATCCATCTCATCTAAATGGATTTCAAAGACTCTCTATTTGCCTAGGATTTCCAGACACCCGGTTTCACCGGGTCGCAACTGTGTATGCACTGTGTATTCACAATGCACATGCAAAGGAGCTGCCAATGCTTGGATCTGGAAGTCCTGAATCCCCACGGTGCAAGGTTCTCTGTGTACCCGGGAAGTCTAGACTAGAAGTGAGACCTGCCCCCAGACTCATCTTGTAGAAGGACTCACAGACTTGGGAGAGATTTTTAATTATTACAGAGCTGGGCTGGATTCTGACCAGTGATCTGCTGTCTAAAGGCTCAGTAGCTCACTAAATTATCCTAAAGCAGCCAGGCCTGAAGAAACACCACTGTTACGATGTCAGGGTGAGAAGTGTTTTCTGGAAAAGTTCATTGCATAAAGATCAGTTATTTCTGGACAGCAGCTCTGCAGGTTCAGGGGAATGCTTTTCCCAGAGGTGCCCTGTATTCAGAAAGGAGCACAACTCATTAACCAAGCAACAAACACCCAAAGCCTAAAAGCAAAGCAGTAACAGAATAGCCAAATTCACTTCACAAGCTTTTGATGTTTTGCAGCTCTTACTCAGGACTTTGATAGTGACCATGGGAGGTTTCACACATGTTTCTCACAGATCATGGATGCAATTAAAGCCATCCTCAGGGCCCCAGATGGCTTACACAGCCCCTTGTGAGGCTACACCGGTGTGCTTGCAAGCAGGTTTCCTGGCATCCTTCCTGGCCCTCTGAGCAGGGTGTGGTTAATGGCTAACAAAAATCCAGCCAAGCAGATATATTAGTGTATTTCATCAGAAAAGACAGTGACTGCGATGTGTATTTGTCATATCCAAACCTTAGATTCTATTTCCAGCACTGTACAGAAAGATTTAGTGATATTTCTTGGATAATTCATCTGCAAAATGGGCAAGTGATAGTAACACACCTCAAGGGACAGACGACTAATGCTGGTCATGAGCTAAGCATAAATATTAAGGGCTTGCAGTGTAAGTACTAGGATTTGAACTTGTGGATGCTTGTTTACAGCTGAATATTTTTTCTGACACAGTTGGGCACCTTCTAAAAGATTTTTTTTCCCTCTGTCATACCTAAATATTTCTATATTATATTTTTCTTGAGAAAAGGAAGTACCAGGGTAGGCTTGTCAAATACATGGTTGTTATGACACTGCATGCCATTTGGCAGAGGTGTTTATATCCTCCTGCTTCCTACCCACCCACCCCCCCCCAACATAAAGCTTTGAATGTTCTCTTCTGTGTGCTACTGACCCCTTTTTCATCCCTCCTGCCTTTGTGGCCTCACTGATATCCCAGTGCAGTGAGTCTCAGACTGTAAAGGATGTAAAAATGTCATTTCAGAATTTAATTATGTCACTTTCCAAAATTACTCAACACTTACTTGTTTGTTCTCATACCCAGAAAGGATAATTAAGAGCTCTTGAATCATTAATCTGGGAACCTATGATATTTGGAAGGAGCTGAAGTTATTTATGTTCTTTGAATTTGTAACACAGAATTGGAATTTTCATTTTGCCACCTATTCTCTTAACTTGTCTAGGTATGTCTGAGGTTTCTCCAGACCAGAATAACCTTTTTTTAATCAAAAAATAGGCTGGGATTTCAGGAGCGCTGCTGACATGCTGGCTGCAGCTGGCCAATGCCAGGGAAGATGTTTCCCCTTGTTGTTTCAGCTGGTATAGTGGCCCCTCCAGAGCCATGGTGCTTGCAGAGCCAGCATCATTGTTCCTCTCCAGGACCTGGCCTCCACAAAGCAGACAGACAAGCTCAGAGGAAGAACTTCCTAGCACCAGAGGCTGAAACAGGCACTCTGACACCAGCCAGCTGATGTTGAAGCATTGAGGAGCTGGGGTTTCTCCTCTCTTCTGCCACCACCTCTAATGCTCCAAATCTGGAAGCACTTCTAAGGCTTGGCCAAGCTGGATAGAAAATGAACAGGAGAGCCAAAGACTTCTTCAGGGGAGATGCTGGGGAAGGATGATGACATGCATGGGGCAAAGGAAGCCTGCAGTGGTTTGGAGGTGAGCGTACTAATGAGCTCTGGGTCCCTCCTAGTAAACACACACTTGGGAATACTCTCAGAAAAGAACCAGTCCAGAGCTAAGCATCTGCAAGGATCTGGTAGTCCCATGCTACCCTCTCCTCCGAGAAGGGTGGATGGAAGCTATTCTCCCTCTGCAGCTGCATTAGGCTGATGAGACACTCAAATGGATGCTGAAAACTGTTCTTTTTTTTTCCCTGAGATAAAAAGAAATTAGAAGAGGCTGAAGTACACAGATTCCTTGTAGACCTTGGGAACACGAGAAGAACCACACAGGGTCATTTGGCTCTGAAGGCTGAGGGATGTGAGTGCTATGCTGCAGAGCCCGCGGGGAGCATGAGTCACTTGGACTGCCTCGGCAGAGCCGGGCTGCCAGCATCCACCGAATCCTCACCTCGGGTTGCACTCAGAGGGCAGAAACCAGCTGGGAAGCAAGAGGGGCTTGGGGAGGGAGGGCTGTGGGCTGGGGTTATTTCAGCAGAACTGGAACAGGACAGTATATTCTCAGCTGTGTCCAAGCCCATTCCTCCACTGGAGCAAGCAGGTCTGTGGGTCCTGACAGGAGACCGTGCATTGGAGGTGGGCCCAAAGGTCTAAAGCACGTGCTTTTTCCCTTCTGCAGCCTAGAAACATGGAGAACAGTAGTACCAGAAAGGCCAATATGTTAGGGAAAACCAGCTCTTCTCAGTTTTTTATAAACTCGTGCTTTCTGCGATGTTTCCACATCACTGTACAGAGCTCTTGCTGCCGTTGTCATTTTGTAAGTATTGCCATGTATGCATTTCTGAGTCCTGCCATCATCTCAGGGCTTCTCTGATGAGCTGTCACCCCATGATAAAATATGTCTGTCATTGTGTTTGCTGCTTTGGAGAGCTGTATATTGCCGTGGTTTGCGTTGTGCAAGAGCGTTATTCCATTGCATAGCGTAGATGCACTCTCGTCACACCTAGCAAAGGGAGAAGTGAGGTCCTCACTGCCTCCTGAGAAGGAGGACCGGGATACATGCAACACAGCCTCTAAAGCCCTGGGATACCACAAGGAAGGGACCACACAAAAGTGATCTGATAGAGACACCTGCCTTTTTGTCTCTGACTCATAGGAGCGCTGTTGCCACAGTGTTACCCACTGCACAGGCTGTGAAGACAGTGTGTTGTGTCAGAAAGGGAGCGTGCTGTTATATTACTGCAGCCCAGGCCTGGGCAAGGTGTTACAGCAGTCCACTCCAGCTGGGGACTCATCAGGTACATCAACATCAACACTTATGTTCTGTGCAAGCTTGTTTTTATCTGGCTTGAACCTCCACCTCTGTACTGCCTTGAAGCCCACACTGAAGCTTTCAGTATTGCACTCAGATGGAAAGCAAAGCCCATCTAGGACTTGCTCTGTGGATGACTTTTCTCTCAATCAGGGCAGTCTGTGCACGTGGGAACAAAGAAGGTCATCATCATGTGAAAAGATACAGACAGGAGATCTGCCAAAAAAAGAGATTTATGAGATTGGAGCCTAGAGCAGTTTGAGCTTGCAGGTGAGTTTCAAGTAGAGGAGGGCAGGGTCACGACTGCTAAGATCAGGAGATCCACTGAGGAAATGTGCTGTGTTGAGGAACGCTTATAATTTTTGTTACCCTCATCCAGATGGGACAACTGGAAGCTGTGCATCCGTGTACATGGCTGTGCACTTACAGGAATCCCAGTGGCACCATCATGTCTGCTGTAACGCTGTCCAGGCCACCTGGAAACTGGTGGAGGGACCTTCTACATGGCTGGCAGGGCTGTGAACCTGACCACACTTTGCAGGTAGGTCCCAGCTGTGAATGGGGACAAAGCCTTTGGTTGCTTGTGGGGACTCGGCATGCCTTTTCCAGCCCTTGGAAGAGAGCAGGACTGGGGTTGCTGAGCGAAGGGTCGTGCATCCACATGGTGCCAGTCCTGGCCCCGTGAGAGAACCAGCCTGCCTTGGAGACTGCACTGCTGCCTGCTAGCATAAGATCAGGGCTGTGCTGGGGCAGGCACACTGGCTTTGGCAGCTGCAGACAGCGCTGTCAGGCAGCACAGGCCCCTCTGTGCTCTCCAAGTCGTTGGTGCAGACGTTCCCCGCTATCCATGCATTTTATCCTGGACAAGCCAGGTTTATCAGACCTAGTGCTGAAGCCCAGGTAGGCTCTATTAGCTTTAGTCTTACTTTGTCAGTCCGATCCTCTCGCTGTAAAAGTCAAGGCTTGTATTTTTAGGTACAGAGGTGGTTGGTTTAGCTGCCAGAGCCTCAGGTGAGCGTCTGACCTGCTGGAGATTGCTGCAGTGCTGGAGGAGCTCATGAAGGACGCTCACCCAGCATGCTGCTTAGTCCCACCCAGGGATCGGGTGGTACAGAATAATCCCTCTGCTTTGGACACCCATGTGAATGGAAAGAGGACCAGACTTGGGCTACTCGAGCAGTTATTTAAGAAGGGTCTAGACTGAAGGAGCAGGGGGTTGGTTTTGGTTGAGGGGACCATGTCAATCACTTTGTCATGATCATTGTATCGACCGCTGCTGACCTTGTGCTCATTTGTCCTCATACGGCTCCCAAAACTGACCTCTCCTTAAGCCCTGAAGATGCTTTGTTTAGCAGACTGGTGGGCCTCAACTGGATCCCAAGATAGACCGGCAGTTCAGGGACAGGACAGGGGCAGGAGGAGCAACTGCATGCACCGGGAACATGGACCAAGGCTTTTCGAAAATGAATGTAGTCTTGTGTGCACAAGCACAAGCTATGGGGAGGAAAATGGCATTAGAGTGGGCCTTAGTGTGAGGACGATGGTGGAGGAGCAGGCACCACACTTGTGGGTGGCCCACACCTGCTGCCACAGCTGCCTGGGGCCGTGTCCCCACGCCGGGGGAGACATGGGGTTGTGGGGGGGAAGATTTCCCCCAGCTCACAGGTGTTGGCTTTGCCGTTGTTGCCACTCTGTCTTTTTCTCTGTCGACAATGGCGTGATGCTGGTGTAACCGCTACAGAGATACCCTCCCCCCCCCTCCTCCAGCACTGGGCATCCCACGGGGGGGTCTCCACCACAGGAAGCCCTTCCCACGGCCCAGTGCCCCTCTCTCTGCCTCTCCCCAGCAAGCTCAGCCCAGGCAAACAAACCTGGCCTGCAGCCAGTGACAGCTGTAGGACCTCAAGACCTTTTTGACCCACCACTAGCAGACAGCAGAATAACATCCGTAAACACGAGGCTTCCGTGTACATATTTTAACAGTATTTTTGCTTCAGGACATTCTGGCATCTCCGCAACACACTTTTATTTCCATTCTAGATTTCCTGGGCTTTTCACTCCCTCTTCCCTTCTCCTCGAGCCAACAAAGGGTCCTTTTTGTGAGAGCCATTTTTGGTGGTTGTCTCAGAAGTATCTGTTCTCTGTGCTCTGTCAGCTTGCTCAGTCCAAGGCCAGTTTGTTCTCTTAGGAAATGACTTTGTCACCCCCTTCCCAAACTTACCTTCTAGATCAACATTCACAACGTCTTCAGGCTCTGATTTCCAGAAGCTATTGGTATCCTGAAATGCCTTCCTGACAAAATTAGTCCTGCATTATCCCACTGCTCGTGGTGTTTTCACTTGTGTGTTGTTTTGTTGTCGGAGAGATGACGACTACAGGCTAAGGGATGGGTCTAGGGGTACTGTAGGGCTCAGACTGCCCAGGAAAGGCGAATGAGGATGGACAGGTTTCACAGAGAGCAGAGGGCTGGTGTGTTAAGGAAGGCTTGAGGCAGCCAGGGATGTGGGAGATAGTGAGAATCAGGATTCCACACCCTAGCAGGAAAGGGAGAAATGTGAATTTGAACCGGACAAGATTGCCTCAGAAAAAAATTTAGTCCAGCTTGCAAAAAAAAAAAACCCAACCCCAAAGTAATTTATTATAGCTCAGGCAGATAAAAGGAGCACATAAAATTGGATCCACAAGGTCAAATTAAATGCATGAGCAAAATACAAATATATGTAGATGTATATGTATATACATATATATCTTCTATTCAGTGTCTCATTATAGAACTGGGCATCAATCATAACCCTTAAGGTTTTCTAGTCTTGTACATCGGCTCCAAGCCAGACAACATCCCTGCATTGCATTAGACTGGGAGAATAATGAAGGAATAAAGAATTACATCAAAGCAGGAGAAAGGAAAATGGATTCACAGAGCACTATGGGCTGGCAGGTGTTTAGGTACAGGCAGAGATTTCATCAGTCCTTCTGACTCCACTGCTGCACTACTACTTGTTCAGCCGGCTGCAAGAGAAAAGTATTGTGTGAGTATCAGTACTGTAGAGGGGAAAGGCTTCATTCAGATACCTTGAAGCCAGACAACCCCCCACTTCTTTGCATCGTATAGAGAATGACTGCCTGCCTCTGTAGCTGAGGATGCAAAAGGTTACTTGTGCATCCACATGGCTGCAGTTTAGGTTTCAGTTACACTGAGCTGCTTACTTGGCAAAGAGAGTTAAAGAGCAACTGTATCAGCACTTGTATTGCACAGATGTATCTAGCTTTTGATGTAGCTATGTGGGCTTTGCCCTCTTCTTACGGGGATTATTTTTTAACCTTGATAAAAAGTAGGTGAAAATTCCTTGACACGTTACGCTGACCCACTCTTCACCACATATACATCCCAGCTATGAAGCAGTATTTGCCAATAAACATTCTCACTGAATTCTCAGTGACAGTGGAAAAAAATAGGTGAAACGACCATGGTTTGCCGCTATCACCAGTAAAAATTAAGCAGAAGTCCAGTTCTGTACCTATACATTCACTGAACTTGTTCATGCAATCATTTTTACCATCCTTAGTTCTCCACTTCCAGTGACAGAATAGCCATCAGTGTTTTTCCACAGCTGCTTCTGATGCCTGGTACAATATAAGCTTAAAGACCTGGAAAAGGGCAGCTCCTCTGCTGAGAAATCCTTGCTCCCATGAAAGGGGCCAGGACATGATGGTGTATTTCATATCACACAAGGTCTTTGGGAGAGGGCATGGTTTACAGTGTTCTGTGATTTTTTTCTTCTCCCTCCTTGCTCCAAGGAGGTTATTGGTAATTTTCACAGACTGCAGGCCAGCACTGTGCTAGCAGAGCTGGAATTATATTATGGGCATCATGGATTTTTAAAATTTGGGTTTCATCCTTGAGCTTGGTTGTGTGCCTTCCACTTCTACAACCTCAAGATCCAGGTCCCAGACACATCGTGGAACCTATCAAAGGACTGTGGAGCACCTGCTTGGGTTTGGCTAACATCTGTCAACATCAAGGTAATTCAAGTGAAACTTCTCTGCTCAAAAGTTTCCCAGCACAGTGCTACCATGGGTTTGGGACATAACAGGAAATTTATTAAACATCACTCAGAATTCTTAAGCATGACTTAACATGAATATGAGCTGAAAATGCTGAAATGCATCTGTACTGTAACACTAAGTAGGCTCAAGCTCCCCACTCAACCATCCAGCTCCCCTGTCTTAAAACCACAGTCTTTGCCCATTCTGGGTGCCATCGTTGTCACTTACTGTTGACACTGACATGTCTTGTTTTCCAGCAAGTATCGTCTTGCTCGTGCCATCCTTTTTGCCTGTTGCTGTCAGGAGAGAAGGGATGAATAACAATTGGATATTTTTATGCTCCAAATGCTTTCCTCTGAAGTGGTAGTAACTGTCTGACAGCTGCAGACTGTCCATCTCTAATCATTTGCTTTAAGTCTAAGGATTTACCCTTTATCTGTTCTGCCCCTTACCCAGACAGAAAATCAGACTCCTATGGTTTGGGGAGACTGTCATCTCTTCACCAGGGCACTCACCCTTCTCCGCTGCCAGCTTATACCACTGATGATGCACAGGCATGCAAGGCCAAACACCAATACACTGCCTCCAATACTTGCTCCAATTATCACATAGCTAATCCAAACAGGAGCTTCCTCTGTGGAAGGAGAAAAGTATTCAGTCACAGAAACAAAGATGGTTTTAAGGTTTTTGGTTGGAGGCAGGGATGTGATGTTTATTTCCATACCCACGGAGTAATTAAGGCTGATCTTCCTGTTGTTGTCTTCTATGAGGTGACAGTTCCACAGCCCTGCAGCAGTGACGTTCACCTCCAGCTTTACGTCGTACTGCTTTGACCTCTTGATGTCCATCTGAGTCCCGTTCACACGTTCCCAGCACAAGTGGGCATTAGATGGGAGTGGACTAGAGACCTGACAGATCAGGGTCATCTTGGCCCCTCGAGGGAGTGGCCCGACAGGGTCAGCTGAGACTGTAAGGGCAAGAAAAGGGCATGTAAGTCAGAGGATGGGAAGATGGGTCCACCCATACTCTTGTGACTTCTAGATTTCTGCAGCTCCTCATCTCTTGACTCACTTCTCTTTCTCTCACCTTTCATCACCACCAGCTCTATCTTGCTCTGTGTGTATCTTCTGTTGTATGCCAGCTGGCACTGGTACTGCCCAGAGTGGTTGAAATGGACTTTGGAGAGTTTCACTTGTATGGTACTTGCTGGTTTGCTTTCAGGTATCTCAAACTGAAAGTGGCCTGTTTTTTTGATCTCGTACTGCTCTCCTTGTGCTGTGATGTTGAAATCAAGTAGCTCATGAGAGGTTGCACTTTCATGTTGTTTCCAACTCATTTTTCCTGTGAAACCTTCTTTCCATTTAATGTTCTGGAAGTTCAAATGCCATGACAAAATGACAGTACTATCAACAGTTGCATACTTTCTTTCCAAATCTGGATTCTGAAAACCTGAATTCAGAAGAGACAAGAAATACAGAGGCAGGGAAAGCCGTGGCTACACTTCCCCATCTCCACCCTTGATCTGGAGAGATGTACACTGTGCTCAGTTGAAAGAGGACTTGGAAAAAAGCCACGAGATACCCCAAGAAGGAGAAACAGTTAGTGTCTGAGAATAAGTTAGAGAGCCAAAGCTCCCAAGCTCACCAGAGCTGAGAAGAACAGACCCCAAGGAGGGGAGGATTCTCTCCTCACCAAGCCTGGAGAGGAAAATAGGAGCAAGTGTGGAACAGAGCTCAGGCAGTAGAGCAATCCCCAAGCTGCAGTGATGGAAGGCCTGGGAAATGGACCCTGGAGCACCATTGCTTGGGATGCTGGAAAGTAAAAGCTCAGCTCATGAGCTGGAGGGAGCAGTGGTTCTCAAGCCTGTGTTGTGAGTTGCATTTTTGTTGTCACATACCTAATACCTTCACATCAAAGGAGATGTTGTGATTAATCAGTGGAGAGTCTGAATGGACGTGACATATCCAGGTCCCGCTATCTGTAGCCTCCAGTTTCTTTAACTTCAGTATGTATTCTTGAGGTGCCTTGCCTTCTAAGTGTTTTGGTCTTACTATGTTATTGTTACTGTTAAACAGTGTGATGCTGAGGCTGGGTAGAGGATGAGATGAGTTTTGCATTAAAGTCAGCTCAAGGTCTTCATCTGGCAGAAAGTGCCCACCTAAAGAGGTTGTCACTGTAAAAAGAAAAAGCACAGCCAGTAAGTCAACTCCTCTTCCTGCAAGAGAGGGACAAGTGTCACAGCAAAGACAATATGGAGACTTTGTGCCCTGGGGATGGAGGAGAAATGAACTATGATAGCCCAGGCCAGAAGAAATGTCAGCTGGATAAAGAATCTCAGCAGAGATGTCTCTCTGAGTGCTATCGTCCAGTCCTGTCCCGTCCTCACCCCCCTCTCTTCCTCATGGATAAAAGCACTCTAATCACTCACATTTAAAGACATGCAGTGAGATACTGACTGTGTGGGAGTCATATTCACAGGTGTAGATGCCAGCATCAAGGAGCCTTAAGTCCAACACCTTCAGCTGTTTACTCTTGGGGTTGATTTCAGATCGATCAGTCATGGAAGCTTTGCCTTTTGGAAAAATAAGCTTGGTTAGGAGGGAAGAGGTTTCTCAGCCATATAATGGGGAGAAGGGATGATGAATTGGAAGTCTTACCTTTCAAATGGGTAGTTGTAAACAACCTTATAACAACCTTATAGTACTTCCAGGTCACATGTCTGTCATGAGGTATGCCCCTGCAGTTCAGGATCACTGCCTGTCCTGCAACCCCAACCTGTAGTTCATTTTGCTGAGACATAATGGACATCACACCTGAAAGTCAATACCCACCAAAAAAGGCATACGTTCACTTTCTGAAGGGTGGCTCAGTGAATACTTCCCATCCCTCCAGAAAGATGCAGATATTTCTTCTCCTTTTCCCATATTTTGGGAAGATTATCCTCAATTTCTGAATTTTTCACGCCTTTGTCCCATCCATCCATCCATCCATCCATCCATCCATCCATCCATCCATCCATCCATCCATCCATCCATCCATCCAGCTTCCCTCCCTTCCACTTTGGGTTCTTTTTCTGGACAATGGCTATTCTGTTTCACATACGTTCAGAAATAGGGAGAATACCAGTGGTTGTGGTGGATTCACCATCATTCACAATTTTGAGATGTCAACAGTTTTTGTGAAGCAACATTTTTCCACTGGACAATATTTAGTTGTGCTACTGGTAACAAAGGCAGGACAGCATATGCCAGTACTCCTTCACTCCCCAGTCAAGACTTGAAGCAACACTGGCAAATTTGCTCACCCCTTCTTCCAATTTGTACCTGGAGCAAGACTGAAAGCCCAGGAAAGTGAAAGGATACAGTCAAAAATAAAGAAAGAAATCTGGCCTAATGTCAGGTTCCTGTTCTTGGGATGTAGACTATGTGGCAATAAAAGAAGTAGGATGTATAATGTTGAAGAAACACTGAGAGCAGTTTCTTGGAAGAACCATTTCCTTTTCTTCACTGAAAAGAGGATTTCTGCAGGAGACCATAAGAGGCAGGTAGATTTTCCAGAGTTATGATTGGGAATAAGAGGGTTGTGGTCTCTTGCCTCACTGCTCATGAACTCTCAGAGCTGTGCAGCCTGCAGATCCCCCAGGAGGCCCTAGTACTGGAGAGCCATGAATGTGCAAAATAAGTTTACATGAGCTACATATTCCTGCAAGAGCATAGGTAATCTGCAACATTGCCAATACAGATTTTCAATAATCGCACATTGGACCACAGAAAATGATGATTTTGTCTTAAACTGTGGAATTACAAGTGTTATTAGCGAAAGTTGGTATCCTTTGGTTCTAGGGTGCGTAAAAGATTTCCTCTGCAACCAGAGGAATCAAAGCTGAGTATCTGAGAAAAGCAGGGTAGGCATTATCCAGTCACCCTAGCTTCTTGGAAAATGAGCACTAAAAAGTCCACCAAACCTTATAACATTAGCAGTCAAACTTAAGCAAGCTGGTAGCATGACATTTGTAAGGGCAAATCTGTGAAGAGAAACACATGTTTTTGCCAAGACAGCTGGAGGCAGTGTGGAGGGTGGTATTTTCCACTCTGCTCAGTATACACCGTGGATGTAGGGAGTCTCTCAGCTTCTAGCCTCCCTGCCCTGATCTCCACCGCATGGCTCTGCAGAGGGGTGTTGGGCAGTGCATGGGTGAGCCAGACAAGGTAAGAAGGCAGCCGTCACAGCTTCATGGCTGGAACGAAGGAATCAGGAGGAGCTTAAAAACACCCCAGATGTTGTGAGGCTTGCGGAAAGGCTGTAAGAACCAGGAGGGTTTGCTGAACTGAGGACTCACCCAGATGCAGAACCAAGATGATGGCAAGCGTGCCTCTCACCACCGTGCTGCGCGACTCCATCACTGCAGGAACGCTCCTCCCTCTTGCAAGCTGTGGGGCTGGAAATGCTGTCGCTGCCAAGGGATGCTATCCTGGAAGACCCAAAATGCTCTGTTAATAATGGCTGATTTTCAGACCTTGGTGGATAGGGTCCATGTTCCTAGTCAGCAGCCCCCATCCTCCAATGCAGTGAAACGGAAACTCAGTGGTAAAGTCACCAGAGCCCTGTGTTTCAGCAAAGAATCCAGCTGCAGTGTTCTGCCTAGAGTTTGGTATTAAACATTTAATTTTACTCATCCCTAGGCTTCTGGCATTCATTGGACTGCAGCTGTTTATACTGCCAAGAGTTCTGTGCTTTTTTACTCCTCTGTGGTGGGTTATCGTCTCTCTTGCAGCGATTAAGGCTGAACACACACAGGGCTGCCTGAGAAAGAGCACAGCCAGCAGGCTGAGGGAAGTAATTATTTCCTTCTATTTGGCACACCTGAGCTCTCATCTAGGATACAGGATCCAGTTTTGGGCCCCAGTACAAGACAGATGCCAACAAACTGGACAGAGTCCAATGGAGGCCTACTGGGATGGTGAGGATATACAGGGAGAGACAGAAATCTGGGTTTGACAGGGAGAAGAGACCGAAGGTGGGATCTGATTTCAGTCTCCCATTATCGAAAGAAGGAGCATTATCCTAGAAGGAGCCACATTCTTCTCAGATGTGCACAGGAGAGGAACAGGAGGCAGCAGCCATAGGTTGCAGCAAGGAACTGTTGACTAGGTATAAGGAAAAATTTCTTCCCGCTGAAGATGATTCAGCATTGGAATAGGTGATGAGAGACACCGGGCAATCTCCACGCTTGGAGATGTTCAGAAGTTCCCTGGACAAGGCCCTGAGCGACATGTTTTAGTTTTAGAGTCAACCCAGCTGTGAGCAGGATGTTGGACTGGAGACCTCTAGAGGTCCCTTGCCATCTAAATATTTCTATGTGGTTTTGTGATTCTATGACTAAGGCCATCTTCAGGCTGTTGTTAATATTTTTATTTAGTTTGGGTTTTGTCTACATATTTCTTACCTAAAAAATCTCGATAACCACCAAGTCTGATGTTGCTGGAAAGACTTGCTTGAATTCTTAGGACTATTCAACGAAAAGTCTGGGGAGAAGGGAGGAATGAGGTCCGAAAGAAGAAGTTGTGTTGATGGTAACAAAATCTTAAGTGGGAACTCAGAGCTCACTATTGTGTTAAGGTGAGTTAGCAAATTAGATGAAGTATCTGACTGTAGCAAAGACCAAGTGCTGGTTATCAGCTGCAGCTGGTTGGGCTGACAAGGCTGGTGTGAGGTGACAAGGTGGTGTGAGGAGACTACTGAGCTCTCTCTATCCCTAAATCACAAAAAGGAATCCAAGCAGATTAACTGGTCTGGGGAGTGAGGAAAAACAGTGAAGTGACCTCTGTTCTCTGAAAGCTGGCAGAGCCTGTGTCAAGAGTGTGATAGACTGAAGACTGGAGTCATAATGGGATTGAGCTCAAAAGAAACGCAAGAGTAATTTTATACAATATTTACATGTATTATGTGCAATAATAAGTATAGTATATTCTATTAGAGGATAATTTAATATTAAAATTAATTTAAATAACCAGAGCACATGAAGTTACCAAAGAGTAGATGAAAAAATCAGCGCTACATTTACATGGAGATCAGGTCAGCATGATCAACAATCTGACAGCTAGGCAGATGTACACACACGCATGTATGAAAAGTACAGGTGCAAGAGCAAGGCAGCAGCCGTGTGCACCATCAGAAGAGAAATAGATGGCAGAGGCACAGTCAGAGAAGATTTGTGGCTTGCCTCATGCAAACCAAAAAACCCATCCCAGCCCCAGGGAATATCAGCATGAGCTGTTTTGTGTGAAAATAGTAAAAAAAAAAAGGAGCCAGTGCATATGTTTGGAGATCACTTCAAACAAGATGCAGTAGCAGTGATCAAGCAGTTTGCTGGGCTACGCTACAGAATAAAGGGGCAACAACAAGTCAACTGTACACATTTCCAAAGAAGCATCTGTAACTGAGAACTGGCCTAGGGCCCTGAGTAAGATCCATTCCTGACACAACAGAAGAAACCTTGTCCCTGCTGCGAACACTCTCGGCACCTGTCCCAGTGGGATCAGCAGGGGAAGTCAGCCCTCACTCTAAAGTGATACCTGCAAATTAACAGGGTCAGTGCTGGGTTTCAAATATTTTAAGTCATTAAACTTTACCTAAAACCTGAAGGTAATGGAACAGGTAAAAATTAATGAAATTGATGAGTCACACCCCATCATTCTGAGGAGATTGACGACATGGACTCCGATGTCCAAATCGAAGACCCCTTATTAAGCAGAAAGCCATGTTTTTATCCCCTTAAAAAGCTGTCCACGCCCTCAACATAAATGCTTATTGATTAACTTTTGATTGGTCACTACCCTCTGTCCATAATACACCAGACAACTCATTGGCTACAAGTTAGTTACTGCTATCCTAAGCCTATTGGTTAATTAAATCTTACAAGCACAAGCACAACATCTTATACACTTTTAGCTCAAGGTAGAAAGCTTTCCACTGTTTAAGAAATGGCCAGATATTTTCCGTTAACTGTAGCCTTGCATGTTTTCTTCAGACAAAGCTTAGCATCCTTATCTTGCTTTTTGACATTCCTGTTTGTTGCTCCCAAGGCTTCTGGCCGACCAAGGTCAAGATGTCCTCATCATTCACTAGCTGTACAGCTCTCTCAATTTTTCTTCCCAGCCATCCTGCTACATCATTCTGTTCTGGCTGGGAATCTCTATTTTCCTATTACCTTGTGGCTTCAGTTTGTTCTTCGTCTTCTTCCCACCAGGTTATTGAGCAAAACTGCACAACCAGAGCACCATGGCACCAGTAAACTGCTGAGCTTGCTCAGGTTGGTCGTTGCAGATTGATGCATCTTTGTTTTTCTGTTTCTTCTTGTGGTTTCACATGTTTACTTTCCTACTTCATTCACACTAATCTTTGTGTTTCTGTGGCAGATCTCTACGATATGATGTTTGGATTGAGAGCAGCCCTGTGGAAAAGGACTTGGGGATATTAATGTCTGGAAAATTGACTATGAGCCAGCAACTTGTGCTCCCAGCTCAGAAAGCCAACTGTACCCTGGGCTGTATTGAGAGAAGTGTGGCCAGCAGGCCGAGGGACAGGATTCTCTCTACTCTTGCTCTCACGAGACCCTCCCTGCAGTGCTGTGTCCTGCTCTGGGGTCCCCAACGTAAGAAGGACACAGACCTGTTTGAGCGGGTCCAGAGAAATCCACAAAGATGCTCAGGGGGCTGGAGCACCCCCCTTATGAGGCCGGGCTGAGAGAGTTGGGGCTGTTCAGCCTGGAGAAGAGAAGGCTCCGGGGAGACCTTATAGCGGCCTGCCAGTGCTTAAAGGGGGGACAGGAGAGGTGGGGAGGGACTCATTGTCAGTGAGAGTAGTGGTAGGACAAGGGGTAATGGCTTTAAACTGAAAGAGGGTAGATTTAGATTAGATGTACGGAAAAATCCTTTACTGTGAGGGTGGTGAGACACTGGAGCAGGTTGCCCAGAGAAGCTGTGGCTGCCCCTTCCCTGGAAATGTTCAAGGCCAGGCTGGATGAGGCTTTGAGCAACCTGATCTAGTGGAAGGTGTCCCTGCCCATGGCAGAGGGGTTGGAACTAGATGATCCTTAAGGTCCCTTCCAACCCAAACCATTCTATGATTCTGTGTTTACTAGCTACATGTTACAAGTCAGTGGGGAAAATGAGTTGCATTCAGCTAGCATTTATTTCATACACTTTCCCTCTCTCCCTGTTTATCTCTACTTCTCATGCGTTCCACTTCCCATTTTTCCCTTGTCTTTCTATCTCCTTCAGATCTCACTGAGCAAGGCTTTGACATGTTAAGTGACCAAGCCGCTCTCATGAGTGGATGCCTGTAGAAGACCCACACAGGCAGCCCAGCTGTATCTTATGGTGGTAGTCATAAATTAAATGAGGTCAGGGAATGTCCCCAGGCACTGGAACACACTCATCGGTCATGTTAAATTGCTAGAACATTTCCTGACACATTTTTGGCCCAGGACAACTCTCATTCTCCTGAGCAATTCCTGGGATGCATTTAGGTGTTAGCATGAGCCAGGGACCACTCCCATTAGGTGGCTGGCATGTAGCCAGCTCACTCTGGAGGTTAAGTGAGTTTAATAGCCCAGACCATCTCATGCCAGTTGGCCTCTGTGCCAGAAGCAGTCCAGGCATACTTGATTTATTAGCACATCTAGCGATGGAGGAACAGGGCTCCCTCCCAAGTGAACATTGATTTCCATTTCATTTTAACTTCCCTCTCTTATTAGACTAGTTTAATTTCCTTCCTGACTTATTTTAATAATCCCTGCCTCTCTGAGGGGTAGGAAGAGGAGAAGGAGAACTGAGGTGGTGAGCAGTCTTGCTCTGGGGAATGATGCCTGCAGGGCCAAGTCTGGCCTGGAGAATATCTGCCTGGGAGAGGGGCTGGCAGCCCTTTGCTCCCACCAGTGCTGAGCCCCAGCGTGTGATGGCCGCAGGGAGCTCTCCCCCAGGCTGGCACTGTCATGACACAGGAGGAAACTGAAATATAAAAAAAAAAAAAAAAAAAAAAAAAAAAAAAAAAAAAAAGAAGAAACAAAAAACTCAGCAACCACTCCTGATGCAGTGTAGGCCAGCTCCCTTTCTCAGTGTGTTCCTGTGTCTCTTTCATGCAGTGTGGTTTTCTTGTTTTCTTCTCTTGCTCTTGCTTGTGGCTGTGCTTTTGATCTGGCAGCAGCTTGCTCTGCTGGGGCGGGGGGGGGGCCTCCCAGCTACCCATCTGCACAAGGGCTCAGCACCTCAGCCCCTGCTGCTGCACTGCATTTCCCTTTGCGGTGGCTGCCAGGCGAGGGCTGAGGGACGCAGCTGCCTCTTGTCCCCGCACATCACTTGGGCTTCGCTTTGGGGCTCTGGGTTACGGAGGATTACCTCTCTTTTTCTCGGTTTAAACATCTAAAGCAAAGCTGATCTGGATCTTTTACTGAGTAGTGGTTTCCTTGAAATTACTTATTAACCTTAAAGCAAATGTATGTGAGCAGCCCACAGAATAAGAGACTAAATGCAACAAACAAAGCCAGCGGAGAGCAAAGAAGATGATAGCAGTGAAGGTCGTTGCACGGGCCCCACTGTCCCCCAAAGGCTGGCCGACCCTGACTTGATTTCTCCTTGAGCACCCACGGCCGTTCAACCAAGAGCAGCTGCTGCCCTTTGGCGCTGCTGCGAGAGGGAGGTACGGGAGCGGGGTCTGCAGGGCCAGGCAGGGGGAAACTGCTGATCCCCCCCCCCCCGAGAGAGATCCCACCATCAGGATGAGGCAGGGTGGCGAGGCCACCATGTCAGTGCCACCAGAGTTCTCTTCAGCCACACAGTTCCCCGTGACCTAGCCATGTGCCTGGACACACGTGGAGACCACAAGACGCAGCTCTGTCTCCGCAGCCCAAGCTGCTCCCTTTGGCCTCTAACCCCTCCGGTGGCCTTTGCCTCATAGGCATTTCAGCACTTGCTTTCTGACCTTTTCCCCCTCCACCTAGCCCCTCATCTTTCCTCCTAACCTCCCTCTTTTGGGCTCCACAAAACATCCTTCATCCTGTCGTTCACAACTGCAGCCCAGGGGTGACCTTCTCATGTCACTGGAGGCTGTGACTAGCAAAGGCACTCAGATGCCCCCCGAAGGCAAGCCCTCCATCGCCCTCCCAAGCCATGTACATGGTTGGCATGATGTTCAGGAATCGTTAACACAGCTGCCAAAATAGGAACAGCAAGATCTTATCGTGCAGTTTACTTGACGTGCAGCCCAGATGGGAAAAGGGTCTAGATACATATTAAGGAGGTCAACACAGCAAAATGGCATATATCTGCCCATTCAGAGCAAAAACGCATCCCTCCTTAATTTTTCTGTGGTGAATACAGCATCTCTGTGAGAGGCTGTGGCAGATCGGGTGGGCATCGTCCCTGGATGCTCAAGAACCGTGAGTGGGACCAGGACTGATGCTCAATTTAGATAAGTCCTGCTGTACTGCAAGCAGATTTGGCAGCCATGTTTGTGAAACACTAGGGAGGATAAAGGAAAAGTCTGTGAATTGATGTGAGGCTAACGTGCACCAGGGACTTAACAGGACTGCTCAGTTTGTAGTGGAGGACATTAAGTAGTAATCTGAGCTCAGCCTTAGTGCACCGTGAAGAGGAATATCTGAGGTGGCTGACAAAGGTTGAGTAGGATACAACATCTGAAAGTTGAAAAATTCAACCAGAAATGAAACTCCCATTTTCAGCAGTGTGGCAGCCCATAGAAGGGGAAGGCAAGTCGCTTTTCTGGTGTTCTTAAATTGAAAGGACCCCTCTTTCTCCAAGAAATCTTGCTCACTCAGCCCTGAGCTAGTGAATAAGGCTGCATTGGCAGCCATGTCAGACAGTGAGCCAGTCAGCCTGGATTAGCAGAACAGACCCCTCTGGTCTCAGCATGTACAGACGTAAGCAGACATCCCGAGTTAGCTAGAAACTGGCATCTTCTCATTTTTCAGGCCTTTTTTAGAATAAAGTTCCCCTTTCTGGAGGGCACGTGGAGAAGAAGATAGCAAGTGGCAGCTGGTGGAGAGCTGCTTCCCCGTGCATTTCCAGCCCTTGGGGATATACGGTCAGGAGTAACAGGCCTTCATATTGGACATTTTCCCCTATACATGGGTTTAAAAGATCTGTGAGGTTCCCAGGTTCTGAGGCAGGTTAAGTTTTTCCTAGGCCCCTTTTTTTTGCCCCTTTCAGTGAAAAAAATCAGGGAGACAAATGCTTCCTAGTTAAAAATAAAAGGTCTCAGAGAATTGCGCAGCCAGAAGTATTATCAAATCAAAGGTTCAAGATGGTTTTACATCAGACCTTTAAGTGGAGCAAAACCAATCCACCCATGCCGAAACAGCAACTCGTGTGGAATAGTAAAGTTCATAACATTAAAAAAAATGAAAACAGATTGGCCTCTTTTCTCAGAGAAAGAAAGTTTCCTTACCTCTTTTCCTTCCTCTCTGCCTCTGTGTTTCTGTCTCCTTGTGTTTGTCACCTGCTGTAATTGATCTCACCCAGCTACAGCTGAAATAAAAGAGGAACGAAGTCGATGTTCAGAAAGCAGCTCAACAGACGTTGGCCTTGGTGTCTCCTTCTCTCCAGCCAGAGCGTCACCAGGGTCTTGCTGCCAGTCCAAGTTCTGCTGACATCCACCAACTTCTCTAGGTAGAGGGCGATTTTTCCAAATGCATGTGATTTCAGCTCTGGGTGTGAACAGAAATGGAGACCATAACGGAAGGTAGTGTATGGCAGCGCCTGGGGAGAATGAGTGTGTAAAACAGAGAGAGCCTATTGGCCATATGACAGCTGATGGGAGGCTGTGACGGGGCTGAAACTTAAAAGCGAATGGCTGGAAATGGGTTCTGTTCTGCTGACAAAGAAAGCTCGCAAATGAACATGTCAGCTGAGCAGATCTGGACCCAGCTCACATCTCTGATACTCTGGAAGAGCAAGCCAACCTCCGTTTGCCAGCCTGTCTCCTGCATCACTGCTAAGAGGAGGCATCTCTGAGGGGTGGGCCGTGGACCTGACCCCAGGGGTCGCACAGGTATCATAACAGAGGAAGAGGGGATCCCTGATGATATGTTAGGGGAACCTGTCTGTGGAGTATGGCTGAGGTTTGGGGTGAGATGAGAGAATATTTTCTTTATTGCAGTGGTGGGTTGACCTTGGCTGGCTGCCAGTTACCCATGCAGCTGCTCTCTCACTCCCCCTCCTCAGCAAGACAGGGAGAGAAGATAAGATCAAAAAACCTTAATGGGTCAAGATAAAGACAGAGAGACTGCTCACCCGTTACCATCATGGGCAAACCAGACTTGACTTGGGGAAAGATTAATTTAATTTATGGCCAATTAAAAACAGAGTAGGGCAGCGAGAAATTAAAACAAAACTAACCCCAGCTTTCCCCGCCCCCCCCTTTTCTTCTTTTCTTCCCAGATTCAACTTCACACTTGACTCTTTTGCTCTTCCTTCATCCCCCTGAGTGTCGCAGGGGGACAGGTAGTGGACATCACCGTTCATAGCACTTCATCTCTGCTGCTCCTTCTTGCTTTTGCTGTTCCCCTGCTCCACCATGGGATCCTTCATGAAGTGCTCCAACGCAAGTCTTTCCCATGGGCTGCAGTTCTTCACGTTCATCTCAACATAAGAAAGACATTTTTTACAGTGAGAACAATCATTCACTGAAACAACCTCCCCAGGGACGTGGTAGAGTCCCCATCGCTGGAAGCTTTCAAGATGTGATTGGATAGGGTGCTAGATAACCTCATCTAGGCTCCCTTTCCCATGAAAGGCTGGACCAGATGATCTTTCAAGGACCTGTCCAAGCTGGGCTGTTCTATGATGTGATGATTCTAACTGCTCCGATGTGGGTCCTCCGCAGGGGCGGGTACTGTCCTTCAGGAACGGACTGCTCCAGCGTGGGTCCTCCATGTGTCACAGCTCCTGCCAAAAATCCTGCTCCACTGCGGGCTCCTTTCCACAAGCCACAGCTCCTGCCAGGAACCTGCTCCAGCACGGACTCCTCATGAACTGCAGCGTGGGTATCTGCTCCAGTGTGCACCTCCATCGGCTGCGGGGGGACAACCTGCATCACCATGGTCTTTTCCAGGGGCTGCAGGGGGAATCTCTGCTCCAGGGCCTGGATGGAACACCTCCTCCCCCTCCTTCTTCATTGATTTTGCTGTCTGCAGGGCTGTTCCACATTTTCTCACTCCTCTCTCTCTTACAGCTACCGTGCAGTGTTTTTTACCCTTTCTCAAACATATTACCACAGAGGCACCACAAGCATCACTGATTGGTTCAGCCTTGGCCCACGGTGGGTTTGTTTTGGGGCTGGCTGGACATGCCTCTGGCTGTCATGGGGCCAGCTCCTGCTCATATCTCACAGAAGCCACCCATGCAGTCCCTCTGCTATGAAAACCTTGCCATGCAAACCCAATACAAGGTTACTCTTAGGTAACCTGTACCGCTACTGAATCTCAGCTGTTTCCCTTCTCTGTAGGGTGGAGGAGGGGGCTTTTGTGGTTTTCCACCCACATTTGGTGTCTCTCTCTCTGAATCCCAGCCTCAGCCAAGACGGCGGAAACCCACTAAGCCCCAGACATGGCTGAGATTTCATATCTGTGCCGCCCACTCTTCTCCTCCTGTCAGTGACTTGCCCCTTTGTCTAGAGGATGGGGGTGCAGATGCAATAAGGCTTTGGAGGAGCAGGGACAGGCAGACAGAGCACCAAGGTTCATAATATGCCACCAGGTGTGAAAGGAACAGCACTGATCAGGCCTCGAGCACATCAGCATGTCCACTGGTTGTGTCTTTGGAGAAAGATGAAGCCATCCCATCACAGGGAAAGAGCCATCTGTGTGAGACAGGAACTCCTCAGTGTGGGATGGAGGCTATGGGCTGGGTTGGGCTGGATGGGATGGGTGCCTGCTTTTCCAGTGTTGTCCTTGGTTTGAGTGAGTGGCGGGGAGGGGGCGGCTACAGCATTTTCCCCCTGTGAGAAGCTTCTCAAAGTTCCCCTGGTTCCAAGTCAGCTCCACCTCTGCACCAAGACTGAGCCAATCAGCTGTGCCTCTGTGAGAAGATATTTAAGAAGGGACCTGGTGAGGAGGAGTTGCGGCAGCTGCGTGAACACCAAGGTCAGTGGAGGAATGGAGGAAGAAAGGAGGGGGGAGGTGTGCCGGAGCAGAGACCCCCCTGTATCCTGTGGGGAGATGGAAGGGCGGCCCCCCCTGCCACCCATGAAGGTCTACGGCAGAGCAGACACCGATTTATGGCCTGTGAAGGGCCTCAAATGATTGACTAAAGTGTTTACGCCCAAAGGAGGCCGGGATCTTGCGGGAAGAAGCAGCCCCTGCTGTTGTAGTTCGGTGCTGGGAGGATATGCAGCATGCGGGGGTGTCCCACGCCGGAGCAGCTCGGGATGAGCTGCAGCCCGTGGGAGGGACTCCAGTTGGAGAAAGTTGGTGACCCACGCCAGAGCATCTAGGGAAATGCTGCAGGCTGTGGGAGGGAATCACATCAGAGAAAGTCTGTGGACTGTTTCCTGTGAGAGGGGGACCATACTGGAGCAGGGGGAAGATGTTCCAGAATCTGCTCCCACCGAAGATGGCAGAAGCAGCAGCACTGAGTGCACCCCCCATCCCCTGCCCCTGCACCGCTGGGGGAGGAGGTAGGGATATCAGGAGCAGAGCTAAGCCCGGGAAGAAGGGAGGGGTGGGGGGAAGGTGTTCTCAAGATGTGGCAATGCTTCTCACTGTCCTACTCTGTTAAGTGTTGTTGTCAGTGTCTGTAATAAATCCATGTTCTTTTTTTTCTTCCCCTAACAAGTCTGCCTTTTGTCCATGACCATACTGTGTGATTTATCCCTCTCTTTCCTATCTCGAATCCCAAGCCTTTGCTTATTTTCCCCTTCTCATTGCTGCGGGTGAAGGGAGGAGTGAGTGACTGTGTGATGCTCAGTTGCCCTCTGAGCTCAAACCATAACAAGCGTCCAGAGCCTTTGAAAGCCTTGTTCTGAGACATGGCTCTCCTGAGAGAGCCTGCCACATCACATCAGTATCGTCAAAATGCTTGTGCATGATTGCAAATAGAAATATCCCTTCTGGTTCCTAGCTGCTAGAAATTGGCTGTTCTGGGAAAAACAGCGCTGAGAAATGTCATGTTGGGAAAAGTCAGGTTGGTTGATGCCCCTGGCATCTCAGGGCTTGAGGCTCTGGGACATTGACCTGATGCTTCAGTTCGAGTGGATTCTGGCTTGCATTTTGTCTCCCCAGCACGCTGTAATGCAGAAACACTGGCTTGTTTTTAAACAGTTTGTTTATGTCACTGCAAATGTCTACCAGAAATAGCATTCCCTTAAGGGGTAAAGGCTCCAAAACACACTTGAACTTTTCTGCAGAGTTGCAAGGAGGAGCAAGGCTGTGGGTCTGAGGTGACAAAGCTGCAGGCTTGGCCCCCACACAGACCCGTTCTCATCACAGTGAAGGGATTCAGGAGGGAGCCTCGTCTCTCAAATCTGCTACAGCTGTGTGGTGAACAGGTACCTCTGGGACCAAGGGCCACAGTGTGTGGTGACGTGTTTGTATCACTTTCATCCAAGCATCACAAAGCACTTTGCAAGCATTAATTAAACATCAGAATCCATGAGGGATGAATATCAGCCAGCCAGTCTCTCTTCTGAATGTAATATTTCTCATAAATAATTAACTGGTTTTTAAATTCCATGTGAATCTGGTTCTCACCTCACTGGGACAGTTGCTGTACTGCACCCCTGGGGAAAGTGGGGCTTATCCAGCATCACACACTGACCTTGTGGCAGAGTGAGAAGAAGAGCCCAAGCACTACACACTGCTCCCTCTAGCCAAATTTGTTTCTGTCATGTTTCCCTGTTTTCTCCCCTTCAGAGACACTCCTCACCCACCCTGTGCTCTCTCTCTTTGCTCTGATCCCATCACCAGCAATATTTTTGCAAACTGGGGCTGTCAAGCAACAGATTCTTGTAGACCTCAGTGGAGAGAAGAGGCTCCCAGGCTATGCTGGGTGGGGGTTACAGTCTGCAGGGACACAGTGTCTCTCTGAGGAAGTGCCAAAAAGTGAGAAATGGGTCTAGAAATCAGATGTTGAGAAGGACCTTTTACTGACTCCAGTGGAAAGCCAAGAAACCGTCAGAGGTGGTCGTCTCAAAACCAACCTGCCTGCAAGCCAGCGAGGGCTAGGCGTGTGCCTGTGAACTCCGATGGGTGAAGGATACCGGGATGTATTGGAAAATTAGTGATTTCTCAGTGTTATTGGAGAGAAGGAAGGACAAGTGTTGAACACAGCATGAAAACCATATCTTCAGGCACCCGAATGTCAGTGACTTCAAAGGCCAGGAACTTTCTCTTTGCAACAGAATAGCTGACACCTTTTTGAGCTTGTTGAGGGGTGTTTCTGACACTAGATGTGGAGAGCTAGAAACAACCAGCCATCTGGTGAGGAGGCCTGGTGATTTGCCCTATGCACCTCAGAAAAGAGGAAGACTGCTAGGTTGTGCTGGGGCGAGATACCTGTCTGCAGGCTCTTGGAGTCTCTCTGCAGAAGCTTAAATTGGGAAGAGCGGGCTATCTAAGCAGATGCGAAGGTTCATTCGCTGATCAGTGGAAAATCAGGAAATTGTGAGCAAAGGGTCCCCTGTATTTTGGCAGGAGGTGCGAAGTCTGGTGAAGAAAGACTATCCAGATGTGCTGGGAAGTCACAGAC